ATATTACTGTTGCAAAGGCAGATTACTTACTGCATGGGATTACTTACTGCAGTAATTAGGTGGCCAACAATGGCAGTAATTGGACAGTAAGGAGCCAGTAACCCGGATTTACTGCAGTAAATACCAACCAAGCCTGGTAGACTACTGAGTATCATACATTATTTAGAGCGTGTGTAGTTTCAAGTACAGTTTTGTAGACTAGAGTAAAGAGTAAATGTACCGGTAGTCTAGTGTCTAGTACCGGTATGAGTATTGGATTGGTGGGCTCTCCTCCGCTCCCTGCACTACCTTCTTGGAGGACCAGAAGAAGTTTCCCTAGTTTGTTGTGTCGATGTCACAGGGCGATGACCCATTATCTAAAGCTGCCCGACCTGTCACCATACCGGCATCCCCACTCGTGGCGCCAACAAGTTATCGTCACCACCTGCTATTACATGTAGAGGTGGCCTGAATCCTGAATAGGCAAGGCAGATAATGTAAATGGGCGTGAGCCACCAAAGCAACCCTTTAACAATCTCAGCTCAATCCGCCATGCTTTGCTTCATGCGTTGCTCCCATTTCTGGTGCCCTTTCCTCGAGTGTATATTGCAATTGAAACAAACAGGGCAATACAAAGTGCCATGGAATTGTCCACAATAGTAGCTAATTTACCAAGCAGTCTATTCTTTATCGACCGTCAATTATTATGAATCGAATCCTACAAAAGCAGAAAGGTTGAAAGTTGAAAGGTTATCGCCACTGCCCTGGTGCCTTGCATCTTGCTGTTGCATCCAATCTGCCCACTGCCCACCCCACCGCCCTCTCCTCGATGCTGCTTTCTGTGCACTTTTCACCTACCTTCAGAAACAGGATGACCCCTAGAAAAGAACTGATAATTCTTCTTCTTTTCTCTTTCTGAGATGGTGATTTATCCAGCGCGAGGGAATTGGGTGCAAGGACAGTCACTTCGCCACTTCAACAGAAAGAAAATGCTTCTATTCTTTGAGATTCCTTTTTCACAGCAAAACAAGATTTAAGGTAGATAGATGATCGATTGACAACGTCGTTCCGCCCGAGCACGGTTGCCGGATGAATGCCTCACGATACACCTGAACTAAACGGCCACGCTCAGCATTCATGATTCATGATGATGTACGAGTAGAAGTGTAGAAGTGGCGGTCATCAATAATGGGTAGAGGAAAATTGAATGGCACAAGTGGGCAGCCAATAGGATAGAACAACGACAGGTAGTTTTGCTGTCTCGTAAGTTTCTAATAAGCAATAAGCCCGCCACGCACTTCGAAGCAACTCTCGCATCCTTTGAAGATGCAGGAAAAGGGCAGGTTTGGATACATGCAGATCTAGCTAGTTGACCAGACTGGATCTTGAGTCTCAAAGTTTTTAATTGATCTTTGATCTTGGTCAACTCAAACCAGATATCACCTCTCCTGGAAGAATGATCGAGATTCGATTCATCATTCAATCGAATGAATGAATCGAATCGGATACGAGGGCAAAAACTTTTGGTGTTGTACCGACCAATAGCGGACACAACGCGTCTCTACATGTAGGTAGCTAAACGAAGCCAGGAACTCCCGTTTCTGCATGGTCGATTGCTGCTTGCTGCGCTGACTGCAGACTTGCCGTCTCAGAACGCAAGAGCGGGGTTTGGAAAGCGGAGGTGCTTCGGTGTGTCACTTTGAATTCAGTCACGGGACTTTGAATGGCACCAGCGGTACCGCACGGTATCCACGTCTGGGCCACCAAAAGACACCGAAAGCAAGGGCTGAGGGAAACCACAAACGGGAAGGTCGGGAGAAGAGCCTCCCACTCTTTCGGCAGTTGCTATCAGTACCAGTACAATAACAACACATCGAGCAAAGTTTTCCAAGCCAGAAAAGCCAACAGAAGCGACACCAAATGCCGCAAGCGATCACCTCTTCTTGAGCGATCCTTGTCATATCTAGCTAGAACAACGAGCAAATTTGGCCTCGAGGCTTGACTCGACTCAGCTCAAGAGGATGACACTTCCTCTTCTTCCTCATTATTGTCGTCGGTCTACTCGCAAGGAACCTTGATCCACACAGGACGACGGAGAAGAAGAATAGGGCCACAGCACGAGGTTGGAGGCAGAACCCCACCAGTTATAATTGCAATTGGACCAAATACGACCTGCTGGCCAAGTACCAGGTAGTAGCAACAGAAGAGCGAGTTAGCGTCAGAGCAATCCCTGTTGCCTCTTGAAATGAGACTCGTTGCTCGTGATGACGAAACTGCAATGGCTTTGGCTGAGATCACCGAATGTCCGTGACATCTTTGAACCATCGATGCGTTTTCTTGCATCGGTGTCTAACCAACTCTGATTATACAACACGATTTTAGCAAAGAGTGAATGGATTATGTGCGAATCTTTCCAGCCACAGCAAACCCCAATGGCGCTTGGGATACCAAGGGCAGCGCATCCAGCAGACACACTGTGTCACCAATGCAGACGGCACCTCTTCCTGTTCCTAACGGTCAAGAATCGGGTTTGCCCTCACCTTCAATGGCGTGGAGTGTGACGAGCACCGGACCGAGGAAGGCAACACCGAAAATCGAAAGAATCGTCTGGACCGTGCGAAAGGTTTGGTTCCTGAACTGCGCTGAGTCTGCCTTTGTCTTTCCACACAATGATTTTGTGGGGTTCCAATGTCGTGGAGACGCGTCAATTGAATGAATCACAATTGGGGGCTCCTCATGTGACGTTACTTTCGGGTGCTGCTGTGGCTGGTGTTGTGGTTATGTTGCGTCTGGGAGGTCTAATAAGCGTTCGTCGCTTGGCCGTTGAAGCCAAAAAGCCACGCCAAGAATAGTGGATGCTGCAAGGATCCTAGCTAGTGGCCAGACAAGGGACTCGAATCGGTAAAGACCAAAGGCGAAGATTTTAGGTGCGTTGCCTGCCTTTGCGTCTAGCTAGTGTGTCGTAGTCCAGCCAGGGCGGCGAGTGAATAAAGAGGACTTGCATCATTAGACATCCGACCGAGCGCCTTGGTCACCCTTTTTGAACGTAGCACCTTGAATCTTTGTGCCTTCCTGGGTCGGGGCCATGAGGAGTCCTCGGGATCTTTGAAGCCATTTCCTGACACACTCCTGTTTCCCCTCCATAGACGCTCTTAATAAGGGCAAGACAACCAATGCTCTACCGTAAGGCAGTGAACGTTCAACCCTCCAACACACTTCGCTCGTCCACTGGTTAGCACTAATAATTCGTTAGATGACCCCCGTCGCCTGCCGAAGTATTGCTTGGGTTTATCCTCTTGCATGTACCGCCTTGGAGAGCTCAAAAAGACGCTCCAAGACGCTTCGCCAAGGAAGCAGAGGATTCCAGACGAAGATTTTCCGCTGTGGCTGTACGCTGGGCAGTGCCACTGGTTGCATCAGTGGTGGTATCGGTAGCAGGGGGTTGTGGTGACCAAGCACTTTCTACAGATTTTGCAGAGTGATGGTCCCTCTTTCAAGATGCTTCACCCCAAAAGGCGGTTCAGAGCACACAGTGTTTGGAGTGAGTACAAAATTTGAACGGTACCAGGCACCGCAAATGTACAGTACCATGCAGTTGCGTACGGTATCATGGATGGCGGTTGTGAGTGCTGGGCTCACTTGAACTTCATTGCTCGGAGTAGAGCTCTATCGCGTTAGCCAATATATCTACTGTAGTGGTGCTGTGCTTCCCAGTGCCTGCACTTCCTACATCACGAAACCGCTCAGAACTCCCAACCTTGGCGAGTGACCAGTTTTTAAGTTGACGGCCGCTATGAAGACATTTTTGTGTTCCCCTTAGGTTTTTAAATAGATGAGTCATTATTTATTTGTAGCCATCTTGTACAAATTTCAGAATATTATTAGGGACCGCACCGCAACCCAAGACGCTTCGCTCGGTAAGTGTTCTTCGTGCTTACTTCGCTTTGCACAGTAAACCGACAGATATATGTGACTGCAGTCTTTTGTTGCCGGCTCGCAGTGCTCTGCATTGTTTATACGTTTATACCAACCAACTGTGTTCTCTAAAATCGTACCGGTTCAGATTGTTTTGTGTTTTATCTGTCAGCGGGTGCATTCCACTTGATCATCGCAGCAGCCAAAATCCAGCTATCTGAATGATCCAATCATCAAAACGAGCACGAAACGACTCGTGGAGTTGCGATCGCTGTCTCAATCTTGGCTGGCCGGTGACCAACATTCGTCCAACAACCATCCAAGATTTCATTCAAATCCTTCCATCCCATCTCCTTCCGATCTCATAAAACGACAAAGAGAAGCAAAGCAAAGCAAAGCAAAGCAAAGCACCTTCACCATCAAATTATTATCACCGCAATGAAGCTTTCAACCGCCGTCATCACACTCGTCGCATCATGTTTGGGCAATGTGTCCATGGCCTTGGACAATGGCCCTGTCATTGTCGATCGTGAGCTCCAGTTTGGGGATCTCCCCGAACGTCAAGCCCGAAACAATGCAAATGGAAATGGCAATGGGAATGCAAATGGAAATGGCCAAGGCCATGGTCCTCCTGATTTTGTCCTTGCAAAGTTCAATCAGGACAATCAAGTGAAACCTGGCCGAACCCTTCCAATCCAGGAGGTTACTGGAAATTTAGTGAATGTTGCAGGGCGCTCTGTATCATTCGTTGACAGCGATTTGACCCCCAAGAAGGTGTTTGCCCCTGGAGCACGAGTGTTTGTGGATGGAGCTGAGGTAACCATACCACCTCTTGTCTTTGAAAGCAAATCTGACAGCTCTATCACTATCACAAAGGGTACCAATGGAAGGTTGCTGTCAGCGAGCAAGAGGGGAAATGGCAATGGCCGTGGTGCCAAGGTGGATGTCTTGCCTGTGCAGGATGATTTCTTTGCTGAGCTCGATGCAGATGATATCAGTGATGAGTTGCTGGCTGAATTTACTCTCGCGGATGCCCAAAGTCCTAATGATCGCAGGTTCCTTAGATCCAGCGGCCAACTGAAGGAGCAGTTGAGTGCATATGCTCAAGCTCGCTCCCTCGCCACTCTCTTTGACACTGTGGAGGTTGACATTGTCCTTGACAGCTACTTTTGTGCTGCCTTTGGAGGCAATGCAGAGGACGCCCAGGCTCGGGCTATTTCAATTGTGGCAGATGCAAGTGCATTCTATCAAAGCTTTGGTGTGCAGATTGTGATCAACACTTTTTCAACATTTTGTGATCCCGCAGTGGACCCCATCAGAACAATATTCGATGGCCTCTCTGGACAAGGTTCCAGTGATGTCTGTGGTGGCGCCAATTCACTCTTGGTCAAATTCAAGGACCATGTTGCCAATGAAGGCACATTTAAGGGTGATCTTGTCCATCTCTTCCATGCATTTGACTTCAGTGATACCAGTGTTATTGGATGTGCCTATGAAGGTGCACTTTGTAACTCATGGTATTACCATGCAGGTAAGAAAGGGCAGAGTCAGCTCAGCATGCGCATCTGCTTGGCCCACACCAACTGATCTGTTTGTATCTTCAATTCCCTGTGACAGGTGTCAATGAAATGGCCGCAACAGCAAATATTTTGAATCAGGCCAAACTCTTTGCACATGAGGCAGGGCATAATCTTGGGGCTCCGCATGATGCCACCGAAGGGTACATAATGCAAAGCTACCTCTGTGGTTCATCTTGTTCATCTTTTTCGCCGGCTTCCATTACAGACATCACCTCAAGTATCATCAATGCTCCATCTGGATGTATTCACGAGGCAGGTGTGGGCCCAACACCAGCTCCTGCTCCTACACCAGCCCCAGTCTGTACCGACGACGACAGCTGGACAGTGAACGTTTGCTCTTCGGCCGGCTGCCAACCAGAAGGTTGCGATTATTTTGCTGCCAGCTACTGGCGCTCATTTTACTGTGACACTTACAGCTTTATCGCTGCAGCTTGTCCCTTGACATGTGATGCTTGCCCTTAGAGGTTCCCACAACCCCACTCTATATTGCGTGTTGCATAAACAAGACCTGAGCAAGGGCCCGTTGCTCCATTATGAACGCTCTACAAAAATGGCCATATAGACTACAATAATCCACGCCGTTTACTACTAAAGAAGATATTATCTCGTGAGTCTTTGCTTATGCTTTTCAATGCCAGAGCTATAATTTTGCAGTCGAGTCCATGCTATCTCTTGTATTGCTTGCTCTGTCCCCTCCACACGCAAAGTTAGTACGCAGTGCTAACACTGTTTCCGCTCGTCTGATGATTCGTCTTCGTAGATGTAGCAGCTCCAACCCGAGCTCGTAGCATAGCATAGCTCGACCTTGGTGGCAATGAGGCTATAAGGGAGGCTCTGTCCTCTGGGCATCCAGTGTTATCCAGTCCCTGCTGAATTGTCCCCGGGTGCAAGTTAAGAACAATTTTTCCGCTGTCTTCCAAAAGGCTCTGCCAACCGGTGCAAAATATGGTCAGCACTCGTTGTATCCAACTTCCGCGTAATATACTGAATTGGAATTGCACTCGTAGCGGCAGTCGTCAGCAAGGATCATCCATCAATTGTCAACACTCTTCGCAAATGTGTGCAAAATACCGAATACCGCACAAAGCAATTTATCCAAATTGGCAGATATCAATAGACAACATTGCTCGCTTAGTGGGTGCTTGGGTTTGGTCAGTGGTACCATTCAGCGTAGAGAGGGACGACTTGAAAAGGTTTTGGAGCCAATTCTGAGGCCATCATGTTATTCAAATTTCCGCTGTGCTGGCACTTGATAGTGGTGGGCTCAGCAGCAACTCTTTTGCAAGATTAACGAGTAGTGTATAGGTGTGCCGAAAGTGACAGTCCAGGGAGACTAATCTTCGTGATTGTCTATGCCTCGGTCAAAGGAGCTTCACGGTTCATTCTTGTGACACAACGCAGGCGCACTCTTACAAGCAACGACACGTCCTGTGGGATGCGCATGAGATGAGACTTTTTTGCATGTCCTTTTAACTACGTGTATCTTTGGCTAGTGCGCCGCCCTCTGCCAAGTTGGATCTTTGCATTGCACCGTTAGGTGGTCCCGCAGTTGAGACGCTATTGCCGGCAGTGCAGAAAGCAGCAACCTTGGTCGCCTCATTCTCCAATCATCGAAGCGCAAGGCGCCACAGCTTTTCGACTCCCGCACTCAAGATGCTGAGTTGGGGCTGTTCTCTTTTTTGGGTCATTTCACATCAGAAGACTCAAGTCTTGTGCTTTTATAGTTAGCCCTGCGAAGTCTTGAACTGTGAAGGGGAGACTCAATAATTAACGATCTCCATTCACACCAAACATGCTTCTTACACGAATGCTGGGTTGAAGGTTGAAGGCACTGGGCGTCTCCGAGTCGAGTCACTGAAGCCAAGCACCACCCCCAATAGGTACCGGTAATAGCTGTCGTATCCAGTCCACGTCGGATATCTTTCTTTCTAGCCCTCGACCCAGACTTGTTTTACTTATACCTTGACTTGTGTTTGCCACTTGAATGGTTCTTGCGGAGATTGACTATGCCCCCAAGACATAAGCAAATGCGACCAGCTTGCTAGATTTCCCCGGCTACTTCTGATCTCACAATTCCATAAACTCACAAGTTGCAAACACTAAACCAAAATAAAAAGAACAAGCCATCTATTTCCACCAGTGCAACAATGAAGCTTTCAATCACTGCATTCGCGGTTGTTTCCTGGTTCAATGTGGGTGTGGCCTTGGACAATGGCCCTGTCATCGTGGAACGTGATCTTCAGTTCGGAGATGAGGATTTTTTGGGATGTCAAGTTGGAAACACTGGCAATGGCAATGGTAATGGTAATGGCAATGCCAATGGCCAAGGCCATGGCCCTCCTGATTTTGTGCTTGCAAAGTTCAATTGTGACAATCAAGTGAAACCTGGTCGGACCCTTCCTGTGCCAGAGGTGAATGGAAACTCTGTGCATGTTGGGGGACGCCCAATTTCCTTAGATGACAATGATCTGACCCTCTTTAATGTGTTTGCCAAAGGAGCACATGTTTTTGAGGATGGGGCTGAACAGGTTCTGTCTCCCCTTGTGTTTCAAAAGCAACACAGATAGCTCTGTTACAATCACCAAGGGTGCTGAAGGATGGTTGTTGTCAGCAACTAAAAGAGGAAATGGGAATGGCCATGGGGTCAATATGGATGTTTTTCCCGTGGTTGACAATTACTTTGCAGAGCTTGATGCTGATGACATCAGTGATGAATTGTTGCCTGAATTCACTCTTGCAGATGCATTGAGCCATGATGATCGCCGTAACCTCCGATCCATCAGTCAGTTGAAGGAGCGTCTGAGCACCAATGATCAGGATAAAACAACTGGCCGGTCTCTGCAAACTGTCTTTGATGTTGTTGAATTTGACAATGTTGTTGATAGTTACTTCTGTGCTGCCTATGGAGGCAATCCAACTAATGCCCAGGCAAGGGCAATCTCAATTTTTGCTGAGGCTAGCAAGAAATATGAAGCTTTCAATGTGAAGCTCAAGATAAAGACTTTGGCCATGTACTGCGATCCAGGCAATGACCCGATTCGATCCATGATCAATAGCGCTGGCTCTTCTGATGTTTGTAGTACCTCAAATTGGCTCTTGGAGCAGTTTTCAAACTTTGTAGCCAACCAAGGCACATTATTTGAGGGTGACCTTGTCCATCTCTTCCATGGATTTGACTTCACTGGAACCAGCACTATTGGGTGTGCGTATCTGGATGTGCTTTGCAATTCATTCTACAGGACAGGTAAGGAAGAGTGCTCAGGACCCAAATGCTTTCCGGGCAATATTACTTCACAACCTTAACATAACAACTCGTACTCTGTATCTCTTACAATGCAATGGTCCAAAGGTGTCAATGAAATGACCTGGACTGGATCTCGTTGAATCAGGCGCTCCTCTTTGCACACGAAGCTGGGCACAACCTTGCTGCAGAGCACTTCCCCAATGAAGGATTCATCATGTATGCCTTTCTTTGCAACACATGCACATCTTTCTCCTCCACATCAATTTCAACCATTACCAATGCAATCAACAATGCTCCTTCTGGTTGTATCGACCAAGAAACGATGGCTCTGTAACCCCATTCCCTACACCCTTCCCCACCCCCTTTCCCCACTCTAGCTCCCCAGCCAGCTCCCACTTCTACACCTGCTCCTAAGCCAGCTCCCACCAACCCATCTCCTGATACCTGTATGGATGATCCTGATTGGAGCACCTGGGTTTGTGGCTACTGGTGCTTTGTTGCTGGTTTGCTATGAATGATCCCTGGTGGTACTGCGGCTATGATGTTGTTTACTACAACTGCCCTCAGACTTGCCATGCTTGCTGGTAGAGACTTGCACCCAACCATATACAACCTGGACATCATGCACATCAGTAGGACAAAACGATCAAAACAAAAAAACAAAAAAACTCCAGAAAGAAGGGGGAAAACTTGAGAAAAACAGAAACATGAAAAAAAAGCTACAAAACAACAGAAAAATCAGATCAAACTGGACATATATGTTACCAAGAGAGAGGAGGCGGCAGCAAATCCTCGTGGCCCAATGCAAGAGAATTAAAACACATACTAGTCCAGGTGTATTCTAATTACGAGTATGGCAGCGTCACTTTCGTGTTCCAAGTTCCTGTGAGGCCAGGCCGCTACGATCCATGAGAGGGCGAGACTGTCACTCGAGAGGAAACGGACTCACCGTTGATCTCTGAATGAGCTCTTTCGTGACGATCTTTTTGCGTAGTTTTTCTCGCATCACTCGTCCAGGGTACCAGGTTTCATACCGTACCGAACGACCATTCCTTGTTTTCATGATATCGCCGTATCGGATCCTCCTGGTTCTGTCGTTTCGCGCAAAGTCCTTCTTTCCGCTGGGGTCCTCTCATCCTCTTGCTAGCCAGTGGTACGGTACCGGTACGTAGCTTTCCCATTACCTCCGCCGGTACCGTACCAGTACGGCACCGACACAGCGGCCGGTGCAGTACAATACGTACCCGTACTGGTGCTCTTTTACGGTACAGTACCAGGTACCAGGTACCATGAACCTTGCCCAATTACAGGTATGTGCCCTTCCTAACTGGTAACCCGGAAAGTAAAGGCAGCTCAGCTAGCTAGGTTATCTAACTGGGATTGCTTGGGACACGGAATCCGAATGCAATCTTGCTCGGCCAAATTGCATGATGCTGGTCTCGGGTCGGTCGGTCAGCAAACGGCGAAGCCTGGGCATGCTCATAACTTTGCAAGAAGACAAGGCAGAGTGATACATACGACCGATTGCTGGCTAGCTAGCAAGGAAGGAAGGAGGTTTCGCTTTGTTGCCAGCTTGTGGTCATAAAACAGAAGTAACACAACAAATCGAAAACAGCAAATCAAAACACTACTTACGACCATTTTGGCATCTTTCTGCAGCGCAAACACCCACAAGCACTACTAAACGCAACCAGCAAAATGGATTCCTCTCCAGAAGACCTGTTTGATCGTCTAACACTAGATGAGAAGATCTCATTGCTTTCAGGCAAATCGATGTGGACTCTGACAGACATTAAAAGAGTCGGCTTGCCTTCTATTCGTGTCTCCGATGGACCACAAGGCGTCCGCAAAGCGGTTACTGAACTCACTGCCATTGAATCCTTTCCAGCCACATGCTTTCCTACTGCATGTTCCTTGGCATGTAGTTGGAATCGGACCTTGATAGAACAAGTTGGCAAGGCACTGGCCAAGGAATGCCGGCAGCAAGGTGTCCATATTTTGTTGGGACCTGGATTGAATCTGAAGAGGCATCCCTGCGGAGGGCGCAATTTTGAGTACTTTTCCGAAGACCCAGTTGTTAGTGGGCACATGGCTTCAGCCATGGTCAAGGGGATCCAGAGCAGCGGCCATGTTGGTGCCTGTATGAAACATGTTTGTGTCAATAACCAAGAATCGTGGAGATTCCGGGTCAATGTCCTGGTTGATGAACGGACTTTGCGAGAGCTGTACCTGAAGGGATTCGAGTATGTGATTAAGAATGCCAATCCATGGACTCTTATGTGTGCCTACAATCAACTAAATGGAATCTACTGCAGTGAAAACGACTATTTGTTTCAGAAGGTGGTCCGAAACAAATGGGGATATGACGGACATGTTTTGACGGATTGGGGAGCCACCAATCGCAGAGTTGCTGGCATTGAGGCTGGTGTGGATTTAGAAATGCCAGGAACATTTGGCATCCACAACAAACTCATCAAGGATGCGTTGAAAGATGGAACACTTTCACAGGATAGATTTGATGAGGCTGTCCTGAGAAATCTTCGGCTCATCCATCGGGCAGTAAATGGAATGGAACATGGTGACAATACAGGAGAAAATCAGCTGCCCTTTTCGGAAGATGAGCTGTTCTCCCAAAACCACGAAATGGCCTACCAGGCCGCCCTGGATTGTGTTGTTCTTCTTCAAAATGACGACAATATTCTGCCTCTCGCCTCCAAAAAGCAATCATCAGCTGGCACCAAGGTTACACTCATTGGTGACTTTTGTCAGGATCCTCGATATCAAGGCATGGGGAGCTCCAAGGTGAACTCAACCAAGGTGGACACTGTGTTGGAACAAATTTCGAAGCATACCGATCAGTATGTCTTCTCTCGCGGATACTGCAACGCCGATGATGAAGACGATGATAATGCGAGCAGCAGCATCTCTGGTTTCTTTGGCAAAAGCAAAAGCGATGAAGAAAAGGAAAGCAAGGAGCGCAGGGAAAGGATGATTGAACAAGCAGTGAATGATGCTAAAGGCTCCGAGGCAGTCATAATAATGGCGGGTGTGCCGGAAATTCATGAGTCGGAAGGGTTTGATCGAGAGCACATCAATTTGCCAGCACAGCACAATGAGCTCATTGATCGCATTTGTGAAGTCAACCCAAACGTCATTGTCGTTTTAAGCAACGGTGGGCCAGTGGCAATGCCATGGAAAGACAAGGTGAAAGGAATTGTGGAATGCTACTTGCTTGGACAAGCAGGTGCCAGGGCCCTTTTGGACATTATGTTTGGAGTTGCTTCGCCTAGCGGGAAGCTCACAGAAACCTTTCCATTGAGTCTGAAAGATGTCCCTTCCAATCGGTACTTCCCAGGAAACTCTCACACAGTTGAGTACCGTGAAGGGCTAAACATCGGCTACAGATACTATGACACCGCACAAGTGCCTGTCCTTTTTCCATTTGGCCATGGCCTCTCCTACACATCATTTGCATATGAGAACTGTACGTGCAAGGTCGTAGACAAGTCAACAGAAGAAGGCAGGACTCCCCTGGTCCAGGTGGAATGTACAGTTATCAACAATGGATCACAGCCAGGTGCTGAGATTGTTCAACTTTATGTCCATCACAACAATCAATCCACAGAAAATCGGGTATATCATCCCGAGCAACAGCTTCAGGATTTTGCCAAGACAAAGGTTCTTGGGCCGGGTGAAGCTGAGAAGGTGGTTTTCCTCTTGACATCTGATGCTTTTTCTTTCTTCGACACTGGGGCATCTGAATTTGTCATGGAAGATGGAGCAGCCTACGAGGTTCGAATTGCATCATCAAGTCGAGACATCCGTTGGACAGGCACAGTCGCAAGTGGAGACATTGCACGTTCCCACAGGGCCACGACAAGTATTAGCAAGCCTTCAAGCGATGCAGCATTGTGCCATCCTCCTCTAAAGGATGGGAAATCTCTACCAAGTCCTTTGGTTGTCAGTGATTCCACATTTCATGATATGCTTGATAAGCATCCGTTTGACTTGATGCACTTGTCGTCTAAATCACTCCTGCAGCAGCATGTGCCAGGCCGTGGCGCGCCACAGCCTCTGCAGGTTGGGTCGGTCCCTGGCCTTCTCACGCAAGTTGCGGATCCCAATGCACGAGTGCTTCCTCACCACATTGATGTAATTCATCGAAATTCGTTCCTTTCAGAGATTGAAAGGAATGGATGTTTTGGGAAACTCTTTGCTACCATTATCATGAATGCAATGGAAAAAGAAATGGAAGACCCAAATGATGTAAAGCAAAAGAAGATGATCCGAGAAGTCGCAAGGAACCTTCCACTTCGTTGTCTCGCAACCTTTAGCAGAGGAAGCATGTCCTTTGACTTGCTTGATTCCTTGATAGCATTCTTCAACGGCCACTATGGCAGTTCCATGTCTCATTTCTCTGCCGGCACACAAAAGGCGGCCACAGGAGTTTTCATCAGGCGGTAGCCAGCAAAACAAACCCTATTTTAAAACATAGATCTGCATTATTTCTCAGTGATGGCGCTGTAGCTTTTGCACTCGAGCGTCCGTGAACAATCATCCACGTTCGCTTAATTGGCTCGTGGATCCAGGAACAATAACACTCAACTCGTGAAAGTTCAAATGCAGTCATCTATCGTATTACAAAGGGAGGTAGCACACGCAAACGCTACGGTACCTCCTGAGCTTTTCTAGGTGCTCTGACAGCGGCTACCTGTAGTTTTACGTGAGCGAGACATGGTTTTCATCGGATCCAAGTCTGGGTAGGTAAAGGATCCCCCATCTTTGGATGGAGCGCTCATACTAAAGACAAACACAACCCCAAAACAACCACACCCTTCCGTACTCAGAGTTCAACCATGAAAACAACGACAGCATTCCAATCGTCTGTGTGTTTTGCGTCACCTCCAGCTACGTGCACCACCCACAGCGCTGCGGTACCGGTACCGAACCCAGACAGCCTACTAGTACGCACAAGAACGATCTCAAATTCCGGTACCAAACGCCGTGGCAGTCTGCGGGAAGTTAACTGTTTGAGACGATCCAAGATGGTCACAAGCCGCTGGCTATGGCAATACGATCGAGCACGCCGCAGAGACTCGAGCCCTGGGATGCCACCGACTCCGAAGAGGATGCGCCCAATGAAGTAGCGAATTGGGGCAAATGTGGTGATAAATGTTTTCAGTGGGCAGGATGAAACGAGCAGATGAACAACAAACGAGCTACTTTGTGATTCATCAGTTCAGTTTCAGCCAACGACGGGCTGTACCGTATTGAACAAGCCCGTGAAGAGAAATCTCTCGTCACGAGCCCGTGGATCACACACAAGTAAGTGCATCGATACCACACCACGTCGGTGCCAGCCAGATGGCTTACCCATGAACGGTTTAGCGCAAATCAGTAACTTACGGTAGCGCATCTCTTCGTATTCCTGGCCCGTTCGATGACAGTTCGTGCACAACTTCTATGCCACGCTTTCATTCTTCATCTTTGCCGTACCGGTACGGTACGGTATGGCTAAACCGAAGAAGCTCTCGCTAGAAAATTTGTAGGATTCGATTCTTGCCCACAGCGCATCCATCTCGTGATGCCCCCGACAGAAAGGATAATGCGTGGTATATGGAAATACTGGTACTCTGACTTGTTTACGTGGCGCATCTCTCTTTCATCTTGGCAAGCTCGGGTGCATGCATATTATACAAGTGTAGCTTCTTTTCGTCCAAGGCAGAGTAAAGCGTCAGAGGTCCCTCTCAGAAGTTTGCAGATACCAGCTAGAGGATACGCCTCGCAGCCCCTCCTTCCTCATCAAACGAGCCCCACCTGCTAACTAAGCAGCCATCACAAACCTGAAGCTCCCAACTAACTAGATCGCCACCAACTAAAGAAGCAGCCGCGTATCCTGGAAACGCCCCGGCCCTACAAAACAAACAACCCCGCACGGAAAGGGCCACAACCAGCAAGCTCGTGCCGTTGTCTAACTGTAGCCCATTCCCGTACCTTGGCCCAGGACCCAGGTTATAAACAATGAACGCTTGGGGTGGCAACAAATAATCACAAACACATCCATGACACAAAACGAAGAGGCACGGCCAAGAGAAAATTATAGTGTTGACCGTCGCTCCAATGCTTCATCTAAACGCTCCAATAGAGTTCTAGGAAAGAAGTATATTCGGGCATGCCCCACTGCAGATCATACCGTAGCCACCAAGAAATATATTGCAACCCAAAACGCACTTCAAATCTCAACCCTGGAAGTACTCGCTGCCGAGGTTCCTGATGAATTGTTGTTGTTTCCTCCACCGCCACTTTTATTTTTCAAAACGACAAACTTTTGACTCAATCCCCAGTCTGACATGGCGCCACTGGCACCCAGGAATCCCACGGCAAACACCGGAGTCAATATAGCCGCTCCAATGGGACCACCCACCAACAGGCCTAACGTGAGCCCCACAGCGGCAGATCCGCCCGTTCCAATGGCCAGTAGTCGATTGTTTTTGCCTCTCATTTTCCCCTTTACAGAGCTCGCCTTTTTCTTGAACACTGCCGCTTCTTCCAATGCTTCCTGTGATTTTTGATGCAACCGATCGGCATCTTCCATATTGGACAATTGATTCTGCATATTCTCATGCATCTGATCTTTGACCCGTGCCACTTCTGCCATTAATGCATCCACCTTTTCGGAGTATTTGATGCGTGTGTCATTGTCGACTTCCGTCATGAGAATGTAGGCAGCAGAGCCAGCTTCCATAGTCCCCCATTTCTGAGCGAGTCCTTGGCAGCATGCCTGGAGATTTTGTTTGCGTTTTTCGAGTCGCCATTTGCTCTTGACGTGCCCTTTGGCCGTCTCAAAGTGTTCGTCCAAAGCTTCAATGGCAATAAATTTGGGGTAGTCCGGGGTAGTGCAAACAATGTAAATGCCGCCTTTGAGACCCTTGATGAACCAGTTTCCCAATGACGCATCTTCGTAGTAGGTCATGAAGCTTTCCTACAGAATAATCAAAAATGGAACGAAAACCATATGAGTACAACCAACGCAAACAATCAATGAGCACATAGCCACCGCATAATACAGCAAGGAACAGACCTCCTCCACATCGCTCAGGTGGCTCGTGACAAAATTCAGATGGGCTTTGTCGTCGAGTTGGGTACAGAAAGAAGCTTCTAGGACAAACTTCTTCTTTTCGTCAAGGGTGGCAATGGCCACAAACGGAAGTAAGGGGCGAGAATCGTCCATGTTGATCGGTTTGTTTGTTTGTTTGTTTGTTTGTTTGTTTGTTTGTTTGTTTGTTTGTTTGTTGTAGTTGCTGCTGGTGTTGTTGTTGGTGGTGGTGCTGTCGAGTTGTGGGGATTAAGTTCTACAAGACACACGAGCTTTAGAATTCAGAAGAGGACAAGCATCGACGTCTCGGGTGGTTTAGTCACACCCGCAAATCCACGAAGCCAAAATTTCCAGGCAAGATCAAACACACATCCGACTGGGAGACTGCGAGAGAACAGGTCACAAAAAGTGCTGTTTGACAGCTCTCATGGCTTTAAATCACTTGCGCGAGTGAAAATTGACCGTAAATGAACGCGAGCCCAGGCAAACGATGCAGGTGCCTAGGAGTCCTCTCACAAAATTGTTGGCGATGGGCACTTGTTGATTGAGACGTCGACCCTTCCAGGCTTGACGGAACCAAACCAATCACCACGACAACATTCAGCGGAAACAACAACTACAAGAGATTTCTATCTATTGACTATAGAACAATATCATCATGCTGAACCAAGGCAATACGTTACCAGGAACCGTCAACTCTCCACGGAGAAAATCGGGCTCTGCCAGTGACTTTATATCCGACGACCGCTTCTGGGTATTGCTGTGTTTCGTGGCCATTCTGATCCCATGGGCTCCCTACCATCTAAGTTATCTTCCGCATCTAAACTATGTTCGAAACGACATTGCTCAAATGCAGTCGGATCAGAAGCGCCTATTGCTGGATCTTCAAAAGACGACCAAAAAGGTGCAAAAGCTCAACATTGAATCCAGTACATTGGAAGAGGAGAACAATGCCCTGTTGTTCGACTTGAGAGATCACGGGGACAATGTGGATACGGAGACGAACAAATACAGAGAAGGTGAAGAAATGGAAGAATTGTTGCTCAAGAAGATTGATACTCTACAAGGAGCAATCCAAACACGAAGTGAACAAGCAGTCAAGAAAACGTAAGTTACCGTAGCGCCACACCAACAATCTATCCATCCAAGTACCGTCATGATGAATCGCGTCGATAATCTCATTGCTCTATTGTAAACTGCCCTCTTCTTTTTATTAAATTTCTCGAATTGTAGCTTTGGAGAAGGTCCCTTTCGAATCAAGGTGACGTTGGCATCGGAACCGGTCAACGAATTCTTTATCTTAGAAACCGCGCCATTGGATGTCATGCCCCATGCAGTCTATCACTTTATGAAGATGGTGCAGAATCAACTCTGGGATGGACTCTCCATGGTCAGTCGATCGAGTGAACCCATCTTGCAAGCCACGCCTCTGAATGCAAACAGCAACTCCTGGGAAGATAAGCGATTCGAGGATGCCAATGTGACCCACATGGCCTTTACCGAGTATTCGTTCGATTACCCTCCCAAAAAGTATACGCTCGCCTTTGCGGGACGTCCAGGAGGTCCCGACTGGTATGTCAACATGGAAGATCTCAAAGATGAGTCGGAAGAAGGTGAATCTTGTTTTGGGATTGTGGTGGAGGGATTTGATGTGTTGGACCGCTTCATGGGGAGAACGGGACGCTGGAAGAAACATCATCAAGTAGCCATTGTTTCCATTGACATTATGGCCTGATCACTTACTACCAGTACCAGTAGCCCAAAACAAAATAGAGACGCAGGTTACGTACATACATAGATCCATCCGCCGTAGCTACCAGGTACTGACGACATCAATGCGGAACAAGAAGACCGCTGCTAGTCTGAAAAAAGAACCTCATTCAAGCAGTCACAAATGTCCATCAAATTTCTGCTCTCTACTAGCTATCAGATGTAATATGCTCTAACTGCTCTAGCTGCATGCTGCCCATTCACTTCTTCGTGGCTGGCATATATATTATACAATACCCGTCTCCAGATACGGTTCGTCGGCGACCAATCGGTCAAAGCCAAAGGCTGAAAGATCCATGGTTCGAAACTCGCCATGCACCAGCAGTTCCGTCACGGCATTTCCCGCCGCCGGGGACATTTGCAGTCCATGTCCCGAAAAGCCGCCCGCACAAATAAGGTTGGTAAAGTTTGGATGATACCCAATGATTCCATTTTGATCGAGATAGTTGTAGTCGTAAAATCCACTCCAGGCACTCTTGACCTTGAGTTCGTTAAAGGCGGGAACTCGATGGGCCAACGTTGGCCAAATGACTTCTTCAAACAAATCATGATCCACCGTCTCCAATGATTCATCATCGGAAAAGGAGTGATCCAAATGCGCCAACGGCGAGACGCCACAAATAAAGTGTCCTGGAGAGGATCCTTCGGATCGAAAGTAGACACCGGCAGGATCAACCGTGAGTGGAGTTGTTTCGTCTGGCATGGGATGAGAAAAGGACTGTTTTGCAGGGCAGTGAATGTAGAAAATGCATCGTTTTCGTCGTTCAATGGGGATAAGATCTAGAATTGCTTCTTGTTGGGGTTCTGACAAGAGAGCAGCATTGGGCAGACAAATTGTCTGTTCCACAAACTCTCTGCTCCACGCTCCTGTCGTGTTGATGAGTGCCTCCAATCCTTTGATTTCTTCAATGTCATTGTTGTCTTTCTTTCCATGTCTTAGATGGATGGACTCGACTCTCAAGAGAGGGTCACTGCTGCTGCTGCTTCCCGTGTCAGAACAGTTGACAGCATCCACTTGTCCTTCTACAAAGAGCACATTTTGTGAAATGGCCTCTCTCTTCATGCATTGCATAAATCCCCAAGGGTCAAAGTATCCCTCTTTTGTGTGTTGGTCTTTGTGAGAATAAGTGCCCCCTACCAAATCTTCTGTATTGAGCCATGGATATAGATCTGTGAGTTTTTGCTGATCAGCCATGTGAATCCAATCCACACCACAGGATCGTTGCGTCTCATTGTTGGTCTTTAGAATGGCCTCTTGGTCGGTGTTTTCTGCCAAAAAAAGGTATCCATGTGGCTTGAAGGCAATCATTTCTCGTTGGTCGTCATCGCCATCTCCTGCTTCTTGAGCTAGACGCTTTTGCTGCTCACAAACCGTGTAGTCCAACAAAAACTCGGACGAGTATTTGGACATGAGGATATTCTCTGGCAAACTGAATTGTTGTCGAACTCCACCAGCACTCAAAAGAGCCGAACAGTACTTGTATGAGGCATCTCGTTCGATAATAACAACCTTGTTACCCAAGCCTTGTCGACCCAAATGAACCGCCGTCGCCAAACCCATCACGCCGCCTCCACAAATGGCAATGGAACGACCTGCCAGCAACTGACGGCCAATGGGAGCGGCGGCTGCGGAAGTTGCCATGATGATGCGTAATGTAATTTGCTACTCAATAATAATAAGTGTTTGTGGATGAATCCAAAGCTCACATTGTAGATAAACACGGAGTACGTCGAGTGAGAAAAGACATCGTCATGAGATGATGACAAAAGATCCTTCAGAAGGACAAAGCGAACTCGGAACTCAGCAACATCGTGACATCATGGCATCATTCGTGTGCCTGTCCTAGCTAGTTTCTTAAAACTGCAAAATGCTAGAGGAAAGATTTCAGGTGCTTTCACCAAGCATAACTATTAGTAGTAACCACCAGAGTTATCTAGGTTTGCGCCCTGCCATCCACCCGCTTCATCCATCATTCACCCTTTATAATCCATCCAAGTTCAGTTGCGAGAGAGAATCATGCCAAGGATTGCCATGCCGGCAGCACCTGCACCCATGCCTAATCCATCCACAAACGTACTCCATCCACTGATATCCGCCTTCTTCTTGGCGCGTTCTTTCTCCAACTCTTCTAAAAGCTCGGCTGCCATCTGATGCTTGATATCTTGCACTCTCTCTGGTTGGACTAGGGTCGCCTCGAGGTCATCGAGAAACTCCAGCAAGGTCGGGGCGGGATCATGGACTACGTTTTCTTGATCATCGAGATTGTCCATTCGTTCATAGAACATCAACTTGGGAGGACTGTACTCTGGTCCCAAGCAGGCGAAAGAGCGCACAAAGTCTTCCCGTGCTTGCACACTGGTGGCCAATTTGAGCCGGAGGCCCTGGGAGACCTTGTTGACCAGAATGCCAAACGGAATTGACTTGTCGGGCAAGGCATCCAGAACTAACCGAATGGTGGCCATGTCCGATGCACGCACACGGCCCGATTCGGTAGTGACAACAAAAACCAACTTGATCAAGCCACCCTTGTCCTGCTGAAATGCCAGTTTGATCTCCTCTGCAGCTAGCTTGCGGTTTTCCAGGTCATCCAGCCCGGGGGTGTCGCCATAGATAACTGTGTCGTCGGAGGCCTGGTACAGTTGTAATCTCCGCGTCAAGCCAGTGCCGATGCTCACACCAGACTCAAACTGGACACTGCCAATGATGGCATTGAGCAGAGTGGACTTGCCAACACCTGGGTTGCCTATAAAAAGAGTGTAGGTTGGAAGCTGCCGTGTACATCAACCATAAGCGGTGTGGCCTGCATTGCGATGATACATACATTGATTCATTCACTAACTTCGAACATAAAGACGCTGCTTACCTTCATTTTGGTTTGGATACGAAGAATTGTGAAATGATATCAGGGCTGTTTGGGATTGCTTTGGGCTCCTTGCATATTTCGTGTGGCTAGTATATTAGGATTTCCACGGGGCAGATCTGGGAAGCACGGATCACCGACACGACACAAGAAAGATATCATACTTTGGCTTCTTAGCATGTCATGATTCGAGGCTAAAGGCAGGGATGACATCTGGCAAACCACCACAACACGATGATCGAAACAGTGTAAGGAAGCCCACTGTACCGTATCTAGATAGCCAGCTGTGGGTATTATTCTAAACAGATGGAAGTGAAATGGTTTCAAAAGAAAGACCTCGCCGGTCCAGGAATCCTTCTGAATAACGACGAAAGGCTTGATTCTTGCTACTAGGAGCTAGTAGCAAATATGCTTTAGTAGGTGTACGGCATCCATCAAGGCCAGTGTGAATCACGGGGTCAGTGCGCCCATCCATCATCAACGGCAGGCTTTTGCCATCAACACTTGGCGACACGCTGCATCACAAAGACGAGCAGTTGCCTGACGGGTCTTTCCTGGTGACAACAAAGTTTTCTCGTTCTAAGCGTGACGTAACCCAATGCTGCTTCATCCTGACCTTTTTTGCCAGTATTTTCGTGTTGCCTATTTTCAACCTATATTCCAATCCATTCCTAACACTACTCACTCACGTACAGCACCCACGGCATCCGCCACCTTGTCGAATTCTTGTTGCATGGCTTGGGCTTGTTGATCATACGTGACGGAGACTGCTTGCATGGATGCGAGCAAATCTCGTGCAGTTTCTTGAATTTTGGCCTGAATGGGTGGAGTAATACCGACTCCTTGTGTTCCATGAATCCCCAAAAGGACCCCTAACCAATAGGTGGATCCATAGGACGTGAATAGTTCTTGTCCCTTTTTGACTTTTCTCGTGGTGACAGTTGCCATGACGGGCGATGGTCCCCAGGGAATGTGAATGCAGTTTTTGGCACGGCCCGTGGCCTCATAATAGTCCAATACTCCCTCTTCACTATTGCTTTGTACCACGGCTCCGTCGTTGATGAATTGGCTGACCCATCCATCCACAATGGGTTTGCGGTGGGGATTCACGTCCAAGTAGAGTGGCATGTCGTTGTCGTTGGCGAGTTGTTGCTGGAGGAGTGATGTTCGTCGGAATAGTGGTTGATCCGTGCAGTGCAGATAACACGAGTCGGAACTGGGATGGTCTCGAAAGTAGTCGGCATCTTGTGGAGCCTGGACAAACAAGCATTGATCGTCATTATCGACTCCCAAGGCATGCGCTGGATAAAACGAGACTATGGTTCCAGCCTTGATGTTCTTTTTGGCAAAGAGCCCGAGTCCGGCATCCGGAATGGACGATTGTTTGATTTCTACGTTCTTGATCATTTGCGAGTACATGGTTTTCAAAGATGGCGACGAATGCATGAATTCCGAGGTCATGACCGCATCCATAATGTTGACACCTCGTAGCAGGCAGTCTGCGATGACATTATGATTATTATTGTTGTCGGTAGCATCGGAAGCAAGCTGTGATGATGACCATTGCCTTCCGGATGATAATGAAAAAGGCACATAGGCCAAGTTGTACTCTGCGCTTAGCAGCAGCAAGATCGCAAGGAGCAACAGAGCCATGGTTGATGAGTACCGTATCAATTCTACAACACAACCACACAACCCACAACTCTCATGATCACAGATCCCAAGAGAAAAGAGGTCGGAAAAATGAGACTGACGTCAGTCTTTGTGCGGTACTCAAAGCAACCTTCTCTATAAATCTCTGCTTTTGCCGCCTTTTTGATGGCAAAACCAATGACAATTCCTTCTTTCTTCTTCCTTCACACACTCCACAACAGACAACAACAAAACATCCATACCGTACTGCGACTACTAGTATCCACAAGCACCTCAGACTATTTCCTCCTGTTACTACTAGCTAGCCGACATTATGACCTCTGAAGCACCCACAACAGAAGAAAACGATTGTCAACCATGTCATTCGCTTCCTTGCAAGATCGACTTTAATGGACGGGCCCCCGTGGAAGTCTACTTTTCTCCCCAAGAAATACCCCACGAAAAGAATGACGACGCCATTGTTTGTGCCGCACAGTTCCGAGGACGTCAACTACTGGCCGTCAAACCACCACCTCATCAGCAAACAACAATGGCAGGCCGTCTTTTGGAGATTGATGCCTGCAAGGCTCGAAATAGCGAGGGGAAAGTACGGGTCAAGGCCAAATTCAACAGTATTCTGGAATGGAAACATGAACATGACATTGGGACGGTTCAGAATAACCACAGCAGTGGCAACAGTCGTGTCCGGACTGCTATGGAATGGTGTGATGTGGCTCATGCGGTGAGTAAATACAAAAGCAACATACAGAATAGTGGGACACCTGGTCCTTTGCTGGGTCTATCTATCACCTGATTGCTTACATACACGCCTCCTTTTATTTCTTGATTTCCTTGGCTTTTTCAATATTTTCATTAACTTGCACAACAGCTACACGATGCTATTCCTATTTGAGCATCGACAATTCGTGAGGGACAAAGTGAACAGGAGTGGCTCTTTTGAGTCAAAACCAGGTATATAGTAGCTCTACTTGGTTCTAATCCATGTTTTTAAAAAGAAGCTGTATCTGAAGTGCACTGTGTTGGCATTATGCTTGCTCAGGAATCTCAACTAAAAAACAAACAAGGACTTTATACTACAAACGCAGAATCTCATTCTGGTCTAAGTCTCTTCAAAGATACCAGTGTTTGTTGCTACCTCGCCATCTACTACAACTAAACAAAAGGCATTGATACCAGTACTTTTTCTGGGTAGAAACTGAAACCATGCACTATTTACTTCATTGAATCTATTTATTTTACACGCTCTTGGAAGGAACCCTTGTCGGTGTCGACACGAATCATTTCTCCCGTTTCCAGGTATCCTGGTACATTAATGACAGCTCCAGAGCTCAAAGTGGCTGGTTTGGTGTAACCTTGGGCTGTGTTTCCCTTCACATTCGGTTCCGTCTCCACAATTTCGTAATTGGCAGAACTAGGGACAACCACCTCAATCACATTGTCCTTGAAATTGACCAACGAGATTTCCATTCCCTCGTCAATCCATTTCGCGTTGTCTCCCACAATCTTGGCTCCCACTGCCACCTCTTCAAAGGTTTCCGAGTCCATGAAATAAAAGTTGTTCTGGAAAACAAAAATAAATAAAAATTGATCAGAAAAAGAGAATGAGGCAGAGAGGAAAAAAGTGAAAACCATCGTGAGTCTGGGAAAAATGTACATCAATCAATCCATTGTTCCTTTGTTCCTCGGCTACCGGTAGCTGCTCACAAGGATGCATCTGGCACTCCCTGTGATAATTTATTGAAACTCACTTCATCATTGTAGGTAAATTGGGCGTTTTTCTTTTCAATCATGGCAGTCTGGAACTTTTCTCCACTCCGGTAGGTGTTTTCAATGGTGTTTCCCCGCTGCAAGTTCTTGAATTTGATGGTAGTCTTGGCAGCACCACGGGCCTGCTTCATGATACTAAAGGACAAGACTTTGTAGGGTTCACCGTCAATTTCCACTGTCAATCCATTCTTGATGTCGGAAGTATCAACGGCCACTTGAAGGGCGGTACTGCTGGTGGCACCGATATGCACAGCAGGATTCTGAAGAGGGACAAAGGCATTGGCTGTCACGACCAACAGACTGACAAGGAAAGCTCGAGAGAATAGCATGGTGGAAAAATCGAGTTGGGTGGGTGTTCTGAGTTTCTTTGGAGTTGGGTTGACAAGGAATAAATGAATTGATGGTGTGAGCTGGATGATGCTTCCACCTTCCACGTAGACTACCGGCCTCATCATCGTGGCCCCGCCCGAGCATCCAACATCAACAAAGATTCGTTGTCGGAGGGAGGGTACGTCAGTCATAAGACCCGTGAAGTTGGTGACTCCAGTTGTTTTGAAGCCAGCAAGCCTAAAAGACTATTGAGGTGCTGATTTTTTTAGAACAGGTACAGGTGCGTACTACAGGGCCAAGCTACGTAGCGGTATCGTTAGCCATGGACAGCCCGGGCGTACCGGTATGGCATACTAGCTAGTACCAGTACTGTACCCTTTAGAAGCTATAATAGAGGTGCAGGATTTTGCCGATGAGGTGTGGCCCCTCCAGTAGAGGTGCAGAATTATTGCCACCAAGGTTCAAACCATAGAGGTGCAGAATGGTGCCGCCGAGGTGCGGGCCCTAGAGGTGAAGAATAGTTGCCACCGAGGTGCGGACCCTGGAGGCGCAGGTTTTTGCGCCCGAGGTGCGGCCCCTACCGGTACCATACAATAGCTACGGAGAGGCTCACAATTGTTACCGCCGAGGTGCGGACTCCAGAGGTACAGATTTTTACCGGGCGTTAGGTGTAGCTAGCGTACCGGTACGAAAAACTGCGGGTTTGTCATGGTCGCTCTAGTTCTTTAAAAGTGGACCTGTTGCCCCCCCAAACGTCTGAGTTTGTTTGAAGCCCCAGCCCCTGATGAAAACAGCAGTCCACGAGAGTCGAGTCTATTCTAACTGCATCTGCGAGTGGCTAGCTAGATGATCATTTTTCTATGGAGAGTAGCCTCGAGGATCCGGGGCTCAATTCCCTCGTCCATCGCCCCCGCCACCATCCCAGCTCTGGCCTGTACCAGTACCTTGTATGTCTTTCGGATGATCCGTTTCGATTCCAATGATCCGTAACACAAATAGCATGTTGCATAGGTTCCATTGCCCGTTTTCGTCGGCAGCCTGCAGGTGTCCACCACATTGGGCCAAGATTTCCTAGCTGCCTTCGGCTCAGGACTCACACTTGGCCAAACCAAAATTCAAAAATGTTGAAAGCGTTAATTAAATTCGTCCGGTCGTGAAGAAAGCCAATGCCCCGCTCTCCGGGAAGCCACTCACTCTGCAGTTGACAGTGTCAATTACACCCTTCCTCGGAGGAAAATTCCTCGGCGGTACTATCAAATTTAGAAGTCCAGGCAACACATACCGGTACAACAAAAGCCCCAACGACTTGTGTGAGCAGAACACATTTTGTTGTGCTTCTTCAATATTTGTAGAGATTTGGTTTGTTTTGCTGTTTGTTTCAAGCTCTATCGATCCCCAAGCCTTGCTATTGTCGCTATCAAGTCTGGTCAGAGTAGCTAGCTAGTACCTTCAGATACCCCCACACTTCTACTGCTAGTAGTCTATGTCTCCATCACAGAATATCATGACCATGACGGACGACCAGGAGACTCCTCTGGAAGAATTCAGTATTGAGGCTCCCGCACCTCCCGAGTTCTTGTCCTACGAATCGGGAGGTGTGGCGGTCAGCTACGACAATGAGGATACCCCAAAGGACGAAGGAGAGGATGGAACGGGAATTCGACATGGCAGAGGACCACGCTTTTGGCTGCTCATTGTTGGAGCCCTCGTGCTGGTGATTGCCGCCGTGGGAGGAGGTGTCGGAGCCGCCATGGCTGGCCGCAGTAGTGATGATCACAACAGCGCGAGTGCGGTGGTGGACGACAGTGCTACACCTTCGTCCACTACTACTGGTACCGCTTCTTCCAACAGTGGCAGTTCCTTCAGCACAAGTGGCAATATCAATAGTATGGACGACATGAAGGAAGACAAACAAGACTTTGAAGTGGGTGGCGTGGTGAATCTCGGAACGACCTCCACCCCGGCACCTACGACGGAAGTCTATGACATTATCCTGACGCACTCTCGTTATCACGGTCTCGAGTTTGAAGATATCAATTCCTACCAATCCAAGGCCGTTGCCTGGGTCGAATCCACAGCCGACCTCAGCTTGCATACCGCCGCACGCTTGGTACAACGATACGCCCTGGCGTGTCTCTACTACGCCACCAATTCCGTGGAAAACTTTCATACCATTGAGATCTTTGGAGAAGGCAACGTACGACCTTGGATTGACGAAACGGATTGGTTATCCGGGGACGAATGCACATGGTACAAGATTACCTGCAACGACGAAGGATACGTCACCAGGATTGAACTCGATTCCAATCGTCTCACGGGAGCCTTGCCACCCGAACTCACATTGCTCAAGAATACGCTGGAGGTACTCGACTTTTATCAAAACCTCTTTCACAATATAGGGGATGCCGGGAATCATTGGTTGGGAGAATTGACCAATCTCAAAGAACTATTCTACGCAAGAACCTACATGGAATACGACGGCATCCCCACCGTCATTGGACTGCTCACAAACTTGCAAGAGTACGATTGCTCCTACACACTCTACAATGGACCACTCGTCGGGCAAACATGGGCGACATTGAGCAACTTGGAATACCTGCACATTGGTGGAAACCGGTACAACAGTAGTGTACCCGTGGAATTGGCACTCATGCCCAAGTTGGAATACCTCTATGCCGAATACACCGACTTGACGGGAGACTTGTCCTTTATCTCCCTCATGCCCGAGATTGTCGAGCTATGGGTCGATCGAAATCCAATGATGGGAGGATCCATCCCCTCCGAAGTGGGATTGGTCGATTCGTTGCGATCCTTTAGTGTCACGGACTGTGGCCTCACCGGGACCTTGCCGACGGAACTCGGAGAACTGCAATTGAAACAGTTTTGGTGTTACAACAATTCTCTCGTCGGTGATATCCCCTCCGAGTTGGGACAGATCCAAGAGCTGTCCCGCTTGGGATTGGAAAACAACGAGTTTAGGGGTTCTGTGCCGTCGGAGATTTGCGACCTGCGCAGTGGCGAAAATTTGGAGGGCAACCTGGACAAGCTAGAAGCCGACTGCGATGGAGAAGTCGAGTGCTCCTGTTGTACGTGCTGCGGAGAAGCGTGTTTCGGAAGTGCAGCATCGCCCAGTGGAAGACTGCTGGAGGCTGCTTTCTACTCGTATTGATTGATCGAATAATTGGATTCGATTCATTCGATGGAATGGAGCCTTTGTTGTGGTTGGTTTTGAATCCGACAGTCAGTCAGTCAAACCAACCACAAGTCCCTTATTTGTAACTTAACAAGTGGAGTTGGTACACCGGATGTACCTGGTACACGTAAGAAGAGAACAGTGACGACAAGGAAAAGAAAAATGAATGAACAAAGAAAATAGTCCTGATGATTTATATTTCATTTTGCTAGCAGCATGATTAATAAGGAAAATCTGTATAAGGCAATCGTTTTGAACCAAATGCGTTGTTCATGGAGTACATGTAGAACTCTCGTACTAGTAGTACGTACCTCTTTTGGATTCATCGGTCGGATTTGCGTCTGTGTTCGCTTGTCCGGGTTCTATCCTGCACGCTGGCTACAGTACAGTCTTACCGGTACGGTAGCTAGTAGCAAGGTTTGGTGGACTGGTTTGCAGTGGGCCAAAACTATGGAGCTTCATTGCCGGAGACAAGGTACTAGTACTGTACGGTGGATGGCAATAGCGTGTTTGGCTGCAAACACACGCACAATGGTACCAGTACTGGCATACATCATGTTTTGCCAATAGAATACAAGTGTATCTGCGTCAAATTAACTTCTATGATAACAACAGCTTCCCGATGGTGTGCAAGGCCAGCTCTCTTGCCTCCTCCGGATCCTGCATGATCTCGATTTGAAACATTGGAGGAGTTGCGTCGTCCTTCTTTTCTTCCTCTGTCGCTTCAACAAGTGCGCTTCCTTGCACCTCCAATTCAAAAACTTCTTCCTCCACGGCGTCTTCAAAATCGCTCTCGTCCTTGGCGTCCTGTGCATCTTGGAACTCATCTTCGCTTTCATCAGCACCGAACACAATTTGGACGTTGTTCGCAAGAGGTTCGTCCGGACCGAAGTCTAGAAGACTGTCGTCAATGCCTACCTTCTCTTCTTCCTTGCTGTATCGAGAACGTCGCGGTTTTTTATCGTAGGATCGTTCATCAGATCTCAGGCTTACGTCGTCGTAACTACCAGAACCTCTGGAATCATATGATCCACTGCCGTCGTAGCTATAACCATCGTCGCGACTGTAGCTACCGTCACTGTAGGACCCACGCGAAGAGGCCCTTGAATCGTAGTCACTCCTATCTCTTGAATCGTAGTCACTACGATCTCTCGAATCGTAGTCACTTGCCCTGGAATACTCATCTTCACTTGCCCGCGAACTGGCCCGTGAGTCATTATCACCTGCCCTAGACTCATAATCGCCGGCCCTCGAGTCATAGTCGTTTCCACGATCTGAGTAGCAAGAAGGAGCACGAGACTCTTCGTCATCCTGTTCAAAACCATTTCGACACTCGACGCGAGACTCGTCGTCCTTGCCACAGCCATAGCGGCTTCCAACTTGAGACTCATCGTCTCTTTCGGAACCAAATCGACTCTCGACACGAGACTCGTCGTCCTGTTCAAAGCCAAATCGGCTCTCCGAGTCGGAATCAGAAGGTGGAACAGCATGAGAGTCGGCGTAGCTAGCAACGTCGTCGGATGCGGAGGAGTAGTCTTCCTTTGACTCATAGTCACCACTCCTTTCGATAGTATCCCCGATCGATTGCATTTCACGTGCAATGTTCGAAAACTCTCTTGCGTTGCTGCTAAATCTCGTGCTTGTAGTGACAGCTGTTTGAGCTTGAATCTTCACGAAGCATGCCAATGACTTCATTTCGTTTCGGCTCAAACTATGTTCATGGATCGTCGTGACCACGCTGGAGCTGACAACAGAATCGTACGCATGCATCTCGGCCTGTTGTTTCATGTACCATGCAAGAGATTTCATTTCGTTAGCAGTCAGTTTTTGGTCGTGGATGAGGTTTGAGTTCGAAACAGTCGTCATGATCTCGTTCACAATCTGCTTGGCCAAGTCGACCACCTCTGTATCGGATAGTGCGTTCGTCTGAATCAGCTTGCTGCTGCTTACTGCCGATTCCACTTCATGACATATGTGGTCACCAATCAATTTGAAGTCACGGCAGGTAATTGCATTCTCGCGAACCGCCTCTCCCAGACTAGAACTCTTCACCGTCGCGACTGGGTAGCAGTTGCCAAGAGCTGCCAGAACCTGGCTTGCCACGAAGTGAGCAATCCTTCTTAAATCTTCAGTTGACAGAGAATACTCCTTGATGGTGTTTTGAACAATGCGACGCAACAAACTTGGTTGCGAATTCTTCTTCGGTTCAATTGCTGTAGAGTGTTTATCCACAGAACGGTGGTGCCGCCCGTCTATCCTACCAAAACCCCGTGGACGAGATCTCGTCTTCTTCGTCTTCTTCTTCTTGGAATGGGACTTCTTATGAGCTCTTTCATAGTAATCTGAAACACTTTTGTGAACGTCTGATAATGAATCATCGTCATGGAAAGCATCTGATGCAGACCTCATGTATTCAGGAGTCCTACCCAACGGCATCTGCCCATCGTCGCCTCCAGCGTAGGTCCAAGAAGAAGCCCGTTCACGCGATGAGCTTCGAGAGCGCCGCCGTCTAGAGAGATTAGCTCTCAGCGATGATCTGTCTCTGTGTTGTCCTCTGGCCCACGAAGAGATCCTTTGACCGATGGAGCGACGGGTATCACGAGCTTTTTGCGAGACCCTTTTGACAGTCTTGTCGACGGCTGTATCGATTTTTTCGGTCAGATTCGCGGTTGCGTCACCAATGTTTCTCGCGGCATCACCTACCCCCCCTTCAGTCCTAACAATCATATACAAAACTGCTGCAATCGACAAGGCCGCCACAGGGCCTCCCATAGCTGCTCCTGCTACCGTTCCAGCCATGGTGACCCCTCGGGCCTGTCGTTGCGTATAAGGCGGCTCTTCGTCATCAAGAGCTCCAAACACAAGCTCCTGCTGTTTCAACCGGTCACCCATGCTTCGATCGGTGCAACGCTCAAAGCTCGTCATGCTACATGTAATAAGATAAGTTGTATCGCTCGGAAGAACACTTGCCTCTTTTGTGAACAATTGCGGCTCAGTCCGAAAAAAGCGTTTGTCGAGGGCAGCTCCAATTCACGAGTGGGGTTTCAGAATCTCTGTAAAGATGCACGCATTCACGCTCCTGACTGAGTCGGGAATGAAAAGATACCAAAGATACCAATGACTTTGCCGCCAATGCATCGATCTCTCCGGGCTCCCCTTGCGTCTTGTTGCTACTAGTACCGGTATTCTTGAAAGTGCCTCTGTCTATCCCAACTCTGAAGTACCTGGTCTCTCCTTCTGATATTAATCCTCTATTTAAAAGCTTACGTTGGTCTGGTTTCTACGCGGCTCAGTTCTGTATTCGTGTTCTTTGTTAGTACTGGCGAGCTCGCTGGCTGGCTACTGGAAGTTGTCTACGAGGAAGGACTAATCTAAGATATATGTAGCGAGCTCAATGATAACGCCCAATATGCTTTCGGTCCAGACTTTTGAACTTGAAACGCCACAAGCGAGCGAGCGAAGGTTGACCTGACCGGAACAGATGCGATTCATCATAGCCTCTGGCTAACCGGAACTGCCAGCAAGTAAGTTTTGCAGCAAGCAATAGTTGCCATCATCAAGTCAACAAGACGGCATCGCGAAGCTACTAGCTCCCATACAAGGCAGCCAAAAAAGAGCGAGAAGCAGCGGAAGTTTAATAGAAGCTATTAATAGCTGCAAGATCGAGTTGTTGGCTCCGATAGGCAGTCAACAACTACCATGCCACAAAACTGGCGACAAACAACCCGAGTGGAGAGCAAGGTGGAGGCTTCAAATCGTTGTTTTTTCGTTTACGGCAAGCTCGTTTTCCATCGGAATCGAATCCAGCTAGCTAGATCTAGAGGCCAGCTACGGCAGGTACTGGTACGATGTACGCGGAAAAGGCCGCGTGCGGTGACTCGACTCGACTCATGCACCTTAACCCTCTTGTTGGTCTGTCATGCTTCCGTCTGGAACTGTGGAGACCGTACAAGCTATTACGGGTACCATTACAAGTCTGTAGCTACTCGTACTGTAGCAAGGCCGGAGCGACATGACAACATCCACCTTCTTCCCAACTAGGTCTAAAATTACTTTTGGTGTTTGCTATCCTCCTCCTCTCGCTGCCGATCATTTGATAAACAAGGCAAGATTACAAGAAATGAGTACTAGTATTTTAATAGAGAGGGCAGGTGATGGAAGTTCCATTATCAATCAAATGAATGTTCAAAGCTGGCACAGTCGTTCTCACTTCTTTCGTTTTCCATTTTCCATTGCTTCCATTTATCGTTTAAACACAGTCTACCCGTTGTTGATTGATGCTGATTTGATATAGCCGTCCATTGAACCATGTCGGACATTCAAGCAAAGATCGATGAGCTCGAGGCCGAGATGGCCAGAACTCAGAAGAACAAGGCCACGAATTATCACTTGGGAACGTGAGTTTTGATGTTGCCACATGACTGTACTGTATGGGTGCTACCCTGGGGAGCTTAATTTCGTGTGTTTGTCTGTCTACCTGAATATGATAACTGTATAGCCTAAAAGCCAAGATTGCCAAGCTCAAGTCGGAGCTGATCAACGGTCCAGGAGGAAAGTCTGCTGGAACTAAAAATGCCGAGCGTGGTTTCGATGTGACCAAATCAGGAGACACTCGGATTGGACTCGTCGGATTTCCATCAGTTGGCAAATCGACTCTGTTGACGAGTTTGACTGGAACCAGAAGTGAAGCTGCGGCTTATGAGTTCACCACATTGACCTGCATTCCGTAAGTCCCATTTATTTATTTTGTATTGGTGTATTCATTCCTTTTTCTGCTTGGAATGCTCTGGTAATTGACTGTTATGATGCTCTAACTCCTGGGAAATATTAGAGGAACTATGAAGTACAAAGGTAAGGATGCCAAAAGAAAAGATTAGCGTGCAATTCAGTTCTGTAAAATCACAACAACCCGCTCAAATCGAATGCATCTCGTCATTTGGAATCTTGAAAGGAGCACGGATCCAAGTTCTAGACTTGCCAGGAATCATTGAGGGAGCCGCTGATGGACGTGGTCGTGGTAGACAGGTCATTAGTACTGCCAGGACCTGCAACCTCATTCTCATTGTCTTGGATTCGGCCAAACCCGTGACACACAAGAAGATTATTGAAGCAGAGCTCAACTCCTTTGGCATTCGAATCAACCAAACGCCTCCAGCTGTCAAATTCGTCAAAAAGGAAAAGGGAGGCATTGGCTACCAAGAGATGGTAGCACAGACCAAGGGAATGTCTGCAGATGCCGCTCGAGTTGTCTGCAAAGAATACAAAGTATCATGTGCAGAAATCATCTTGCGGGAAGACATCACTGTGGACCAGTTTATTGACGTACTTGAGGGTAAGCAAAGCAGGGGTGGAATATGGGCGGTTTTGTGGCTGGAATTGTCTAACAGTGCTCTTCTTGTATGGTCTCTGTCTTTTAGGGAATAGAGCCTACGTTCCGGTTCTCTATGTGTTCAATAAGATTGATTCTATCACCATCGAAGAGCTCGACATTCTGGATCAAATGCCCAACTATGTGCCCATTTCGTCTCAGCACAAGTGGAATCTAGAAGAGCTGATGGAAGAAATCTGGAACCGGTGCAGTATGATTCGAATCTACACCAAACCGAAAGGCCAAATCCCAGACTATGATGCACCCGTCATTCTGCATTCAGAGAACCCCACTGTGGAGGAATTCTGCAATCGATTGCATAAAGGAATCATGGCGCAATTCAGTCATGCCCTAGTGTGGGGACGATCTGCCAAACATCAACCACAAACCTGCGGAAGAGATCACGTCTTGTGCGATGAGGATATTGTACAGATCTGTAAAAAGGTTTAGGTCCAATAAGCTACTGGATGTCCAGCTAGTGTGTTGGGAGAGATGAAAAGTAGGGGTTCTTCCAGTTTGCTTCGTCTATCTAGCTAGCCATGCTTCGTTTGCTTGGTTGCTGGGAGGGATACCGGTACAATCTCACCACAAGCAAAGTCACGAGGACCGCGTATTGGGACAAGAATGTGGAATAACAGTGTAATTCGACTGTGGACGTCAACCGAATCACAATTTACTGCGAATCTTCGAAAGCACAACTGTCAAGACGTAGTAGGTAGTGTATCCAAGAGTTGCCGTGAATCCACCTTTGCCACCAAACCCAACGAAGAAGGGGGCCTGCAACGAGATTCCAAGTGAGATACGTTAGTCAATTGACTCATTCCGTTGTTGTCATAGATGGGGAAGGCACTTACCAAGAACAAGCCCCACAACCCAGCAAAGCATCCGGCCGCAACAAAGGACAAAACACTTGGAATCCGGGCCTCGGATGCCATGGCAACATAGGCTCCAACCGCAAACCCGTTGAAACAGGCGTTTCGGTAGGAATATCCAGTTGCATTGACAATCATCATTGCAAGTAAGGCGAATTTGACCGGCAACAGCACGGGGCTCACGGGCATCTTCGCGTTGAGCCGGAAAGCTCCACAAACTCCAGCCATAACAATCACACTTGCCAAAAACATCAAGGAAGGTTCTAGCAGGAGTCGATCACCCCACAACAACGCGGCATTGCCGTATTGATTCCATGGAACCGCTTTGGAAGGTCCAATGAATAGAATCATCGTTGTGTTCATCGCAATGAATGTGGTCGTTCCGAGCCTGCCACTAAATCCAAGCAGCAATTTGTACCGCTGCACTAGAAGCCATGCACTTGCCGTTGCAATCGACAGCAAAAACAGCCAGCCGTAGTTGGGAATCGTCTGTGTGTACTGTCCACCCGCAAAGGCCCCACACCCAGCCGCCGTGACCAGCTGTGGTTGACTCTCGCCAATCAGCACAATGACAGCCATGGTGGCAATCTGATGGTTGAATTGTTCTCCTTCATTCACAAGACTATACGTGAGAAAAGCAGCAACAATCGTGGTGAACACTTGGATCAACCAATGAGCTTCGGAGATTAGTTCTCGAATTTGGTGCTGGAGTGTAGCCTTGTCCTCTGGAGTGTCATCAAGACCCACAAACACTGGAACCGCCGTGTCACCATTGTGGGGTTCAATGACAGTTTCTACACCAAATGTGCGTTCCGATATTCCTCTAGTATTGCTAGGGATCTTGAAGGAGAAATCTTGTGCGAGTAGCATGCTGCGCTTCACGGACGAATGGGGATCTGATTGTTTGCGGTTCATTGTGATCATACTAGGGGCTGATTGGCGGCATTGGGGTGAGCGGCGCGTCGGAACGGAGAAGAAGCAAAGCAGACCTTTTAGCAAACCTCGTCGTAAGCTGCAACCCATCCAGTCGTCCAGTACCGGTGTCGCACATCACACTGCAGACCAGACCATTGATCGAGATACTCACCTGACACAGATGCGGCGAAGACGTTAGCATGATGGTCATTATCTCGATTGGCACCAACATCGTGATGGCTGTGGGAACGTGGGAAGAAACGGTGGACAAAGGAAGAAGCGCGAGAAGCTGGGGAAGGTCGTGGTGGCCATGCATTCTCCAGGTCTGTTAGAACGTCATCCACTTCATCGATCATCACATCGATATCCTCTTTGAATTGATCTTCTCCGAGGAGATTGCTCAAGTAGGTACGACTTGTCTCTGTGCAGGAATCGCCACCTGTTCGCGGCCTCTTGTCCTGCAGATCCACTTTTTGTTTGGGAACTCGCATATCTGTACAATCCTCATCGTTGCTTTGACTACCCAGCTGACTCAACAGCTCTGCTACCAAATCCACATCAACTTCCTGCTTCCCCTCTACCATGGCAACTTCCAAGTCGACGAGGACGTCATTCGCTTCCTCGATATCAACCACTTCGTTGTCCTCCTTGGGTAGATCTTCTTCGAGCTCACATTCACTGTCAGCTTTCGTTGTAACGGTAGTAGAATTGCTGTTGATAACAAGGTCGGTAATGACATTAGCCTGATCAGCATGGACATCTGCATCACTGCTACTGCTCTTGGATTGAACAACCATGCTTGGCAAACAGACCTGCCAGAGAAATCAAAAGGGACAAAGGTTGAGCTCCAGCCAAATTTAATGGTCAACCAAAGTCCACAGCAGTGCTGTAAAAACAAATTCTGAGGGTCGAACATCGCGTCAACACAAACCTGCTCGGGTTGGTGGTACTAGTACATGTACATGTACAATGTACGCGGTATGGGATCCTACATGTAATACATGTACAGGTCTTGTGTGATTGTGGTGAACCGTTTGAACACTGATGTAAAAGATATGATCATGACGACGCTATCCTTTAAGTACATTATGAAACAGATTTAATGATCTTGTTCAGTCGTCTTATCGGGGGCAAGAGCCTCTTATCAAAAACTGCAGTAATGTACTATTAACACGGTAGTAGCGGCAGAAGTTCATGTTTAATGTGTTGGAATGGTGCCGGTACTGTACTGTACCATACATAATCTGTCCGGTGATATCCTCGTAGAACTGGTACATTTTCTACGTGACAGTTATTTTGCCGGATGAGATGTAAGCGTTAAAGTAGGGTGAATCGTATTCGGAATCTTCCTTTTCAACCGTTTATCATGTGACACCCGGAGTTAACGGAAAGTAAGACTCAATTCGCATCTTACTGCTTATTTCATAGTAAATTTTGCACGAATCAACCGTTTCTCAAGACGGTTTCTTTTCTGTGAGTATTTTTCAGATGGATGTCAAGGATGATGTGTACACAGTAAAATAGTACAATAAAAATCGCACATCATGAGAAATCACTATAAGATAAGAACAATCGCTGGAAAAAGCAATCTTCAAGACGTGTTGGAAGATTCTTAACGATCAATCGTGCTTGTTTCGTTCCGGCAAACTTCCCAACGGACTTTTAAAGGTTCCGGCAAATTTCAGCGACCATGGGTGATGTCTGCCGAAGCATGTGATTCATTTTCTGGGATTAAACGAACAATTGCCGTATCCTCAGCCACAATCCGGATCTTCCATTTTCTGAGATAATTACTACATATATTGGTTGCACGAGATGATGGAAGATTGTATTTGCCGCTATCGTGATGGTTATTGTCTAACGGATAATTAAGAAAGGAAAAACTGACGATCCCTCCCAAGCACAAATGAGAACAACTCCAACCATCCCAGCTATCGGCATTCCTCATTTCTCATAAATTTCACAATCCAAAAATCGAAAGGGAAACCTATGCCCTTGTTCTCCAAATATTCTTCATTATTGCCCCACCATGGCGCTTTTATCGTCTTCGTTTACCATGACATCATTGCCTTTCGCCATGGCATTTATCCCTGAGGATTGCTGGGTGGATTCTGCATCATAGGAACTGCAGGAACCATGGTACCGTTCGACCCACGACATACGTTTGTTGTTGTTGCGGCTGTCCTTGTGCGAATTGTTGGGGTGGCAAGATGGGTTGTTGTTGCATCTGTGGCACAATGATCTGTGGGCCGACTTGTTGGGCTGAATATTGTTGATGAAGATATGTCTGAGCAAATCCCAATCCCATCATGGCCGGATTGAAACCCATAATCGGGTATTGCATCATCATCGGCATCTGTTGGGGGACCGCCATCGCCATCTGTGTTGTGGACCGCCATGCCATCTGTGTTGTGGGACGGTCATTGGCATCTGCTGTGGGACAGCCATTGCCATCTGCTGCTGTGGTTGCGGCTGTTGGACCGTCATTATCTGTCCGCTGGCGAAACTCGCCTGACTTCCAGCCAAACTCGCAACCCCGCCGCCAACTACCGATCCAGTCATTCCACCCCCAACCGCCGATCCAGCAACACCCCAGCCACCCACCACCAACAGAAACGGCTGCACCGATCCAGTGGCATCTCGCGAGCCACTCCGCCAAAAGCTCATCTCACGACATCTTGCTATGGTCTTTGCTCCCTTCGGTCAACTGGGAGTTCGCATCTTCCTCTCTTCTTGAGTGGAAACAATCTCCGGAATTTCTGCCATCGCCGACTTGGCCTCTTCTTCTTCTTTTCTTTGGCGGCAGTCTTGGTTCCTCGCTTCTGGGCAGCGGGTTTCTTGGCTCCTCGTCATCCTCATCTTGAGCGGAGATCACATCATCTGTCCCACGCAAGGCCTGATGAGCTTGAACAGACCGTCACTTGTCAAGCGAGCATAAGGAAGTTGACTCTTCTCGCACTTGTGTCGGGCCATCTTCAATCGAGTCTTGAGATCGACACGAGCTGCATGGAGTTTTGTGATTCCGTACGCTCGCCAACCATGATTGAAATGTCTTCCCAATTGGTCAAGCCACACATCTTCGCTAGTTCCTTGGTGAACCCATTCAGCTTGTGGTAGCCAAGATTCTTCGTGGTGTCTCCGTGCTTCGCGGGACAAAACCAAACATCACGTTTCGCCTTGGTGGTGTACTCCTTTCGCTGTTTTGCGGTGGCAATCTTGGCAAAGAACTTGACCGCGTCTGGATGACACTTTCCCTTGAAGAAACGGATGACCTTGACCGGGCAGAGTACATCATGCGGATTCTCCATACACTCAATGCAGCGATCTTCTTTGTTCAACGCCGATGGATTCACGAGATTGAGTCGGTTGGTCTTATCTTCCGGGAGAACGAATGCTTCATACTCATTGCCGGCGAGCTCTCCAAGTCTTCGATCGTAGACACCTCCATATGTCTCTTCGTGCAAAAGATTCGCCATCTCCTTGCCTCCACGGAAAAGGAAAAGCGACCAAGCACATAGAGCAAAACGTACAGGAGATGTTGCGGATTCGTCCAGGGTTGGAGTCTTCCGTCACGAATCGCCTCCCGAATCTTTGCATCCGCATCCCAGTCAATCGCTGATTTGTAATTCTTGACTCCGAACTTGGATCACTCTTCCGAATCAGGTACCACTTGGTGATCATGAAGCCGTGAACTGTCCCTTTCATTGAATCTTCTTTGTACTTGTATTGATGCCGCGAGCTTTGAAGAAAGAACAGACTTGATGTATTGATCCGAAGACGTTGGTGCAAAGTGGTTTGCCCTTGTTTGTCCACTCACAAACCATTTCATTCCGCACAACACGAGACAATGATTGAGAATTGTGTGCTTGTCAATGTTCTTTTCTCCACTCAAGATGTTGAAGAAGGCGTAATCCATCTTCTTTCCATTCGCATAATTTGCCGGTTCTTGCTTCAAAGATTCGCCAAGATGTCCCTCCATTTTCCTTGATGGTTTTGAGAACCGATTCACACACCGTGTAATTTTTGCAGCATGTTCCTTGGAGACTTTCCCTTGTCTTTAGCTTCATCCAACAGCTTGAGGTCATCTCAGTCAGTTCCATGGATTCATATTGATTTCCAGCTTCAAGGCACCAGCAATGGCAGCGGCGGAGTTGAGTGTTGGAGTTGGCTGCTCCTCTTGTGGAGTTTCTTGTGTTGGCTCATCTTCCTCTGCTGTTGGTGAGGCTGTGTCCTGATTTTCCTCATTTTCCAAGGAGACTCTAGCAGGTCGGTTGTTGATTTGAGGAGTTCCTTCATTGCCATTTCCACCAAAGTCAATGGTACATTCGAGCGTGGATTGGAAGACGTTTGGATCTGCTGGAGTAGGAGAATGAGGATTGGCAAAGTCAAGGAGTGTCGCCGCAGCAGTTCCTTGTGTCAAAGGTGGTGGAGGAGCTGAGGCGAAGCCAAGGAGCGTTGCCGCGGCAGTCCCTGAGTCAAAGGAGGAGCCAGTCTTCGGTTGATCTTCCTCTTCCTCGTCATCGTCACTACTGGGAGGAGATGTTGCTGGTACAGGGGGAAGGACGAACTCTCCATCATCATCGGGCATCTTGTCAATCTCACGTAGATCCAGTACTGAGTCCTACAGGAGTAAATCTTTCGAGTGAATGACCTGCTACTGAAATGGAGATGGCTTCTGCTCCTGTGTCGATTGCCAAATGATGGGCTATTGTTGAGTTTCTTCAAAGGAGCAGTATGGGCAATTACAGCAGTCTAACGTGTCAGTCTAACAGCTTATCTCTCGGATTATCACTGTACAGATTACGCACAAATGACGGCCCTCTTCATTGCCAGCCTCGGATCTCGTCTGCGAGTCTCGGCGCTTTTCCAGGCCTTCGGCCTTCCTTTCGCGCCTCGCCTCTTGCCTCGTCCTCGTCTTGAGATCTCCGGCCTGCGCGCTACTGCACGCGCCACTCGGCTTCGCCTCGGAATTGCGCGTCCATAGCGCGCGGCCGTCGATCTCCAATTCACCGGACCGTTTTTCTACAAAAAAAAATTGAAACTGCAGTACGCGGTCCAATGTCCAATCGAATATTCAATCGATCGATTGGCGGGAATTGGGAATTGGAACGCTTCGCACTACTAGTACTGGCTAGCTAGAGTAATAGTGGCCTTCGAGAAAGATCTGACCTCCACTCTCCACATCCCGTCGTTGCTTTGTGCGTACCTTTTGGAGTGCAAAAGCTGTCAGGGAGCGGCAACCATCGCGTTGGGATCTCATCCATTTAGCTAGCTAGCCGCTGACTTGAATGACTCTAATAATAAATTCGTATTCCATCTCTTCTTGGTGTCACGATCAGCGTGCTTCTTGGTGCTTCCTGGTGCTGGTAAAGGCTAGTAAAGGCAACACTGAATGCCTCAATGATTGCGAGAGAAGCAGAGGGGCGTAGGATCTTTGAAATTTACGAGTATCTTAAAATAAAATAAAAACCGTACCGTACGGTTCTTCGTGCGGAAACTGTTTTGCGCGAAGGCCGATGCCATATTGCCTTTCTTGGCTACTAGCTAGCTTGGAACTATCCACTTTTCTACAGCTCCTACAACCTTACCATACGTTGTGATATCACTTGGCGATCATGAATGACGGTGTTGTGGCAATGAAGTGTGGATAAAAAGCTCCCCACAGCATCCGAGCGAAGAACGCATCCTTGGGAAGGGGACTGGCGTTTAGTTGCGTCATTAGGTGCGTTGCTAGTGCAAAGGAGTAGAATCGAATCATACCGGTAGCTGGGGGCAAAGCTACCGTACCGGTATGGCGAACGAACAAAAGACAAGCAAGCAGGTACAAAGAAAAGAAGGCAGGCTCCTTAGGAGAGCTTCGTTTTTATACCTCCAAGAAAGTCTCTGGCTTGGAAACCCACCCAGATATGGCCACATGTGGCAACCTTTTGACACCACTGTGGCCCGACAGACCTTGGGCTTCGCCATCTCCCCGTCGCCCTGTCTGTCCACTTTGTCCATGTGGTTGTTGGCCTGTTATCCGTCCAGTCTGTCCCCGTTCAGGAAGCTCTTCTAGACTTCTAGCTATAAATAGAGTAACTTACAGGGAAAACAGGTGAAATCCAACCCCTCGTGGTCTGACTTCAACCCTCTCACGGATTGACAGGCAGTCAAAGAGGGGAATACGTACATGAATACATACTACATACCTACCCGTCAGATGCTGATCTCACGCAGTCTGTTCCAACTGAGCTTCCTCGTGTAAGTTAGTTTTCAAATCGAACCCAGAGTTCGTTCGAACGCAAAACGCACGAGCCTACTGAAGTATTGTTAAATAAGATATGCTTGCATCTGTTCTGACGACTTGGAGGGGCAGTTCTTTGATATGCTCCAGTAAACGACCAATAAATCATTATTAGTACGACTGTAAACTAGACGCCACGTCGCGACAAAACAAGAATCCTCAAAGCACCAATGACCTGCGTCATTGGATGCTGCCTTCAGTAGCTCTTCAGTCTTCAGTCTCTCGAAAGGTTTTCGATTCATTGGTAAAGACACAATACTGTACTATAAAGAAGGCGATAAAGCAACCCTTTGAAATATCATTTGAGTACTTTCCCCAACCACAAATACAAGATGAAGATTCCAATGCCAGTAATCTTAGTGAATGATGAGGACGAAACCGACGATGTTTCGGTTCTCTCCACCTGCGAGGGCGAGGGACCCTTGAATTCCTCGAACTTCTCTCGATGGGCTCGAAATGGAGGTAGAGCAAATACAGCGAACTTTTCTCGATGGGCACGAAACGACTGCAGGAGTGATCAAGGGCTGCCCAATCTTCCCAGGCGACAGGACAGCCTGATCCACGAGGCGATTGAAGCTGAAGGTCACAGAGGCAGTCTCATCGACAGGCCCAAAACACACCGCCATCGCAACACAGTGCGATGTGTGCCTCCTCGCGTTGAAAGATATCGCATGGCAAAGGCACAGAAATATTCTTCCCTCTCACCTCTTGTGCTGGCAAGACATGTGTCATACTAACTAGGACCGAGTGTCAGTCCAAACGATGGATCATTCTCGCAAAGCTTCCGACCATGGAGAGAATTTTTTGAGGCAGTACCGCAAAAATCCCGGCACACAAAAGTGCTGAAGGGAGCCCATGGTGGAAGCCTCGGTTGTTTGGACAACACCAATCAAATGTACATGCTATTATGGTAGACATTCTTACTTTTAATATAAGTTTTTCGCATCATTCATGACTTAGCAGTTCTTCTATTCCTTGTCTTCGCTTCGCTTCACCTCCCTCGAGAAACCAATATCATGCTCCTCCTACATGTCGGTATGGGGAAGAGTTGTCCTGAGCAGATACTAGTACTAGACTTGTGTATTCGTCATGGCGTCCTGTTTCTTCTAAAGATGAGTTCGAGTTCTTTAGCGCAGATCCGATTCACGCCAATCCTCTCGCTTGTTCCATTTAGCAAGGCATCAGTGTAAGCTTCCAAACGGGTGTGCCCTTTGAAGCACTGCATGGTGACCTCGCAAGCAGAGATCCCCACAGACAAACTGCAAGCCGAGGAAGTAATGTAACCTTCTAATAACCTTGCTAAGCTGACATAAGACTTCGGAGCAGAGCTTCTCCGCCACTGCGGTACGTTTAGTACGTACCGGTACAAGGCCCGAGTAGTACCGGTACCGGTACCACCAAGAGCTCTGATGGTATAGCTGAGTACTCCAGGACCGTCCAACGGTTTTTGCTCAGGTTTAAAAACTGCTCAAATCGTGGTTCTGGTTAAGGGAATGTTAAGGGAATGTTGAAGCTTTAAGGGAATGTTAAGGGAATGTTGAGGATTTAAGGGAATGTTTTAAGGGAATGTTTATTAAAGGGAATGTTCATTTTTTTTAAGGGAATGTTCTATGGGGTTTACATGAAGGCTTAGAGGAATGTTTCGAAGCGTTAAGGGAATGTTGTTAAGGGAATGTTGATTTAAGGGAATGTTAAGGGAATGTTAAGGATTTAAGGGAATGTTTTAAGGGAATGTTTAAGGGAATGTTTCAACTGCAAAATTTTGAGTTTTTTTAAAACCTGAGCGAAAACCGTCGGACGGTCCAGCTTCCGAGGTTAACAACGTTGGTCATATGGTGTATTGCTTCTCCGAAGAGCACCAGTCTCGTTCAGGACCAAGTCATCGGCCTTCTACCGGTAAAGATTTTGGGAGGTCCATGGCGGTCGTGACGAAGAAATCATTTGGCTGGCCAACGCTTGATAGCTAGAACGCTGTACCTGCTACCGGTTGCGTTGACGGCTTATTCATCTACCTGATACAGTGTAAGAAAGAGGATCCCAGTTGGCAACTACCAGTACAAGTACATGCAGTAGCTAGCTAACGCGCAAGCAAGCTTACCAGAAACAATGAAAAGGCGCACTGTGGATCTGTGGTGCGATAAAGTGGGCTTTGAAACGATAGATGCAGCCGGACTTCAGCCGGTCGAATGGTTGCCGCACTCGAGCTGGCTGTAGATCGTTTTGAGGGAGAAAAGAAGCCACTTCAAGGCCAAAGACCCGGACTTATTAAGATACTGGAAAGCAAAGAAGTCATTGACACGCGACTGTTGATGAGGAGAACAACAGGGAAAACATCCACATTGAAATGGCGACAAGCCTCGTACATAGTTGTTTGATCGTCCCCTGTGTTTGTCAACAGTGGAACGGTGTAGTTTTGTGGTGGCTTTTATCGAAACATCCAGAGTTGAGATCTGACCAGCCTTCGTGGGTATCTACAGGCTGGTCAATACTGATTGCGTTCGCTGGTCATTGCTAGCTAGCTCCCTTTTGATTTGCTCTATACTGGCTGCAGAGTCAACGCCCCAAGCGATTGCTTCATGTCTGTTGGTTTCTCACAAATCCCAACCTCTAGGAAACAAAAGCAATCCACCAAAGTCGAACCAAAAATATCCACAATGAAGTTTTTCTCCAATATTTTGCTCCTTGCTGCTCCCCTCTTGGCTACTGCCAGTGGAACTGATGAACATAACCGTGCTCTCGAGATTGGTGACTGGAGCGTCAACTTCAAAACAATTGATGGACAGGACTTTACCTATGAAACTGGTCCTGGTGCCGGTGAAAATGTGAATGTAAAGATTTCTGTTGAAAACAAATGTCGCCAGGAAGCTGCCGCTGCAGAGCGCACCAATGTTGGCCACTTCTATCCCAACCAAGATGTTTCTGGCATCGCTGTGGACACCTCAGGAATTGTCAATGACCCTGGTATGGGCATCAATGGCTTCTCCTTTTCATTTGTTGAAGGAGTCAATGAAAATGCCCTCATCTACTCAGAAGCTGATGATGGTCTCAATGCTGCGGTCAACTTCTGTGTTGTGCTTGGACTTTACTCTGACATTATGTTGATTGACTTTGCTGAGGTCAAGCTGACATACCTGATTGATTTGGTGACCCAAGTTCCCACCTTGACTGGTTACACAGTCACTCAAGCTGAGGCCTTTACTGATGCTGAGGACACTACTCTCAGCTTTGATGGAACTCTCTTGGCCTACTTCTGTGACCCTGACAGCTATACCATTCTCACCAATGATGGTTCTGATTCTGTAACCACTCAAGGAAGCACTCTCAATGTTTGCTTCAGGGTTGAAGAAGGACAGTTCCAAGTCAAGGATATCATGGAGTTCACTGTCAGGAATGCCGAAGCTGCAGAGCCCTCTCAGCTCATTATCACCGACTCTGCTCCTGCCTCTACCATTTTCTCTACCAAGAAGTGTGTTGACGAAGGAAATGATAACAATGTCTGTTTGGTGTCCTTCTTGTTGTTTGCTGACTTCTATGATTTTGAAGCCTTGACCTTGACTGGAGAGGGAAGCATTCTCTTAGAGCTTGGAGGAACTGCTGCTGCACCTGCAGGCCGTCGTTTGCGCAAGAATATCCAGATTGTAGATGGCCACCGCAAGCTTCAGAATGAGGTGACTGAAACAGTTGAGGTCCAACCCCAGCCATTTGCAGTTGAGAAGCACCACCTTCCCTCCTCGGCCAACTCTGCCATGGCTTCCATTGCTACCTTTGGAGCCATTGCTGGAGCTGCCTTGGCCCTCTAATGAGCACACGAAAGTTGATTGAGTTTAGCGCGGTTGAAAAGGAGCGAGCGAAAGGCGCTGCCACGAGAAAAGAAAAAACACATGCATACATAGACCACTTATAGTTTAATACGATAGATACAAAGAATATCAATGTGGCTTTCTCGTGCTAGCTCTGGAGCCCCAATCCATCACGGATGATGCTATCCACAACACGGATGCAAACATAGCGACGCGATTAAGTACTCCTGGAAGAAAAATGTCAAATCGGTGGAAGCAGTTCCGGACACAAGATAGCAAAAGCACAAATAAAGCCACAGCGGCCCACAGCCACCATGCATCGTCGCAATCTCGTTGATGGCGCAGTCTAGCAAGTGTCTGTACCCATTCATACGACACAAAACGGGCATCAGGGACTGTTCACTTGAGCCACAAACAAAACAATCAAAGAACTGACAACCAAACGATAGTGCTATGACGGTAGTGTGTAGGTGGCAGCTTGATCGAAGGAACTTCTTGTCGCGCCGTGCTGAGGGATCCACACGCGTTTGGACATGCGGCTGTGCTTTGGAAGTCGTTCGAACAAGGCATTCACCACTCAGGGCATAGGTCAGTAAATGTCAACATCCAGGATGCAAAAGTCGTTCAGCACAATTAGATTTTGACGCCAAAGTCTTGAAGAAGACCACTCTAGATGCATGTGGTGATTTGGTCATTATCTCTTTGTGTGGCCGAATTGCATTCAAGGTAAGATCAACTTTCCTTCGACAGAGAAGTTCGATCAAGTCTCAAAGACGCCCAAGCCACCACCGTGCAGGCTGTGACTGCAGACTATTCTAGAATATCTCGCTCTGCGTGTGCAGCTTTAGCTTTGCCCACGCCGCATGGCATGAATGGGCAATCAGACCACAGCAAATACAGTAGTAGACTACCGGCAGTCTAGCTAGGTCTAGTAAAAAAATATTGGTTGGCTCTCTTGAGAACAACAGACGGGATACTGGTAGCGTCAAGAAGATACTGGTGGAAGCGATCTTGCAAGGTGTGGCTGGGCCTTGGCGCCTTCGGTGCTCTCAAGACTCAAGACTCGGAGTTGTATCGTTGTACATCGTATCTTTGAATCTTTCATCTTTCACACTGAAAGCTTATCTTCCACGTGCACATCCCCTAACGGCAACTGCCCTGATAAATATTGCTGTGCCCCTTTCTTAATGTACGAATCCTGACACATACTCAGTGCAAGAGTCATTTTCGCAGAACTTCAACCAAAAGTCATTTATTTATTCACCAAAGGTCATTATTTTATTCACCTTGAGATCTACATTGTACTACTAGCTACCGTAGTAGCAAAAGGGCTCGATGTATGACGATACTACCACTCATTTTTCTCATAAAGGCGAATAATACTGCAATCAACTCTCCGAAGATGAACGAAGCGTACATCAATGAAGGCATGGACGACGAAGGATCCTTGGCTGAAGCGAGTCAGTCTCATGTTACTTCGAACTCACCAGAGGATGGCGAAAAGATTGTGATTGCAAATTCAGAGAGCAAGCAGGTTTACTATCTCCGATCCCTACTCGTGTTGGTCCTTGTCCTGGTGGCCGCCGGGGTTTCCACTGCCGTCTTTCTGTTCGCGCGTGGATCGGAACAAAAGGACTTTGAAACTCAGTACTACGACCATGCCCTCAAAGTTACGTCTTCCTTTCGAGCTAATGCCAAGTTGAGACTAGGCGCCATTGAATCATTTGCTGTCAGCATCGCATCTGGCGCCAAAGCCCGAGGCGAGACTTGGCCTATGGTAACCACCCCCGACTTCGAACGCAAGGCCCAATACATTCTGGAACTGTCATCCGTTATTTCACTCACCATCTTTCCTTTAGTGACGACCGAAGACCGCCCCGCATGGGAAGACTACTCAGGGAAAAGCACTGACTGGATCATACAGGGGCTGGCCTACCAGGAACAACACATATCGGATCACTTTGACTACGAGGCGGAAAGGGTGGTTCTGGACTACGTTGACTTGGTCATGGACGGTCCTTTACAGAATGGCCAGTTGGTTCGTCCATTCATCTTCAACATTTCTCGAGAAGGCATCGCCCCTGCACAAGAGGAAGGGCCATTTTTCCCGTGGTGGCAGTTTGCGCCTATTTCGCCTGTGCTAGCTGGTATCAACTACAATACCATGTCTCTTCCAACGCGTATCCCAAGCCTCGAGACAATCATGGAGACTCAGAAGCCTATGGTGACAACTGCGTGGGATTATTCCAACGTGGAAGACCCTCGCATCAAAGGGAAGAAGGCCATGTTAGATCTGTATCTCCTCAGGTGGCAGAATGGAGGCAAGAAGTATCAAGATGGCCCTGTCAGCGACCTGTACTATCCAATCTTTGAGTCTTACGAGGACGAACATTACGGCGAGCTCCCTGCGGACCAACGCAAACTTGTGGCCGTCATGAACTCGTATGTCTAGTAAGTACAACCACATTCGCATCTTTTGTGCACCGCGGCTCCAGCGATACTCATCACAATGCCTTTCAGTTGGCAGGTGTACTTTGAAGACGTGTTGCCAGACGCGGACAATGCTCAGGGAGTTATTGCCGTCTTGGAGAACACGTGCGGCCAAGAGTTCAGCTACGTCTTGAATGGTGCATCTGCCTCCTATTTGGGGGCTGGAGATTGGCACGACGCGAAGTTTGACGAGTACGTGGTCTCCACGGGTTTTGGGGCTTTCCTTGGCGAAACGGACTCGAAGTTCGAGAACAAGTGCATCTACAACGTCCGAGTCTATCCGTCTCAAGAACTCCAGGAATCCTTCAAGTCGAATACTCCCCTAATATTCACCATTACGGTTGTTTGTTCCTTTATTCTTGCATCCGCAATCTTTGTGCTCTACGATCTCGTCGTGGAGAAGCGACAAACTGTGGTCATGAAGAAGGCGGTTCAAAGCACCGAAGTTGTCCGATCTCTATTTCCCGAGACAGTGAGGGAGAGGCTCTTCGAAGAAGCATCTACCAAAGAAAGGGGCAATTTCGTTGCTCGTGACCAGGATGATGCGAGCAAAGAGCATGGCCATCCAATAGTAGCCGATCTATACGAGAACTGCACTGGTGAGTACGGACGAGTGCATGAACGCAGGATTCCTGTCACCTTGGTTGCCCTCACGTTGCGTCTTTCTCCTATGACCTGAAGTGCTATTCGCTGACTTGGCCGGTATGTCCTTCTGGCTTTGCTTCGACATCTTGCTCAGCGGGAAAGAGATGATCTCACCTTTTTGATCTGTTGCAGGATTCACAAAGTGGAGCAGCTCTCGAGAGCCCAGTCATGTCTTTGAGGTACGTGAAGTGCAAAAGCATCCGTGAATTGAACCTTGCTGAAAGCTCCACACCGTAGCTCACATTGGATCTTTACAACACAGCTCTTGGAGGCCATCTATGGAGAGGTATGAACTTTGAGCTGAATTTTGTTGTCTGCAGTCAAGCGGCTACTTGAAGACACTGACACCACTGCATTGTCCCTACTTTGTTGCTTTGTCTGACCAGTTTGATTCCATAGCCCAGCGAAGGAACGTGTTCAAGATTGAAACGATTGGAGGTAGGTGCCCCGAGCAACTGTTGCTTCTTTAGACAAGGACAACTTCTGAGAGTGTAGTTTTCCCATCATACATGCAGACTGTTACTTGGCCATAACGGGTGTCCCTCGGTAAGCAATTGTCAAAGGCTGCTAAAAAAAAGATGGTACAGCTGTATCGACCATGTTCCTGCAGGAGATAGACTCATTGGCAACTTGTCATGTTTGTACAGCCCCCAGACCAAACACGCATTGATCATGGCTCGCTTTGCTAGTGAAGCAATGGAACGCATGAATGAAGTGATTCAATCCACGCTGGTGCATACACTGGGGGAGGATACTGGTACCTTGAAAATGCGGGTTGGCCTTCACTCAGGAGCCGTGACGGCGGGTGTCTTGCGTACCAGTCGGCAGCGATATCAGTGAGTCATCTGCCCTCTTCAGTCTTCATTCATTGTTCTTGAAGTGTTGATACTCACACCCGGTCTTGATCGCTACAGACTGTTTGGCGACACAGTGAACACTGCCTCCAGGATGGAAAGCACTGGTTTGCCTGGAATGATTCAGGCCTCACAGGCTACTGCTGATCTTATCATTGCTGCTGGCAAGGTTGCATGGGTCTCACCAAGAGAGGGTGGAGTGGAAGCCAAAGGCAAAGGGGTCATGACTACTTTCTGGATCACTCCAAAGACAGAATTGACATCAACTGATTCCATGGTCTCAGATATGTCAAATCCTTGCCATCACATTTCCAGTGAATTTGTTTTGAGTTCTGACATCGCCAGTGTCACCAAGAATGCTGAATGCTGATTGCAGTCAAACCACCAGCTTGAGTTTTTGCACCTTAGTTTGTGGAGTTGTCTCCAGAAATGTAAGTGATGGGGCAAATCTAATACTACTTTAGTTATCACACAGATTCCCTTTCAATTTTTATCGAGTTGACCAACGAAACCTAAAAACTGAAAGGAGCTTCAGCAGCCTCAATAGCTGCCTAGTTGACCCATCACTGCAGAAAACTCGCCAACTCAAAGGTCTTGGCGGTCCTCATGCATGTTGAAGTCTGGGGCCATATCCTCACCATTTGTTTTTGTTTGAGGGTCACCAACATTGAGCACTCCACAGAGCAAGGCATGTCTCTGAGATGAGACAGCATGTATGAGATTTGGAAGTCTGTTTGGTTGTTTGGCTGCACTGTAGAGTTAGACAGCTTGGTTGAGAGTGACACTGCTGCATTCACTGAACTGCCTTTGCTGCTCGTCTGACCAGTTTGAGGCTTTGTCCAAGTACTGAGCAGTACTCAAGTTGATTGAGACAATCAGAGAAAAGGGGGGTGAGTAAGCATGCATGGTTGGGTACAGACAAGAGTATACTTCTCAGACAGTTGTTTTGCCATCTTAGTGCTATATTTCAATTGCTGCAGTCCCTCGCAGTATGTATGCTTTCCCCCGAGTTGCCATAACCCATGTTTGGCCACCCATTGCTGCTTGGAAGATGCACCAATGCACCCAATGACGTCTGGCTGAGCATGCATGGATGATGGCTCGCTTTTAGTCACAATGTCAATGAGACAAACCAAGCATAGCCATATCCAATCTTCAATTCATTGGTCATTGAAGGATTTGAACTCACCTGTTGTCTTTGCTTGTGATTCAAAATCATATGTTTGGCAACACAGAGTCAATGTTGGTTGCTGCATGGAAAGCATTGCATGGTTTCCCAGGATGATTCAAGCCCGCAGAGGCTGAAGCTTCCTTGATCATTGCAGCAGGAAAGGCGACCCTTGATGATGTTGAAGGGGTGCCCGAGGAAATGGCGTGCACCGATGGGATGAGGGTGATGAGGTGGCACCATGGCGCCAAGCCGTCAAACATGATGCAACTTCAACCGAGAGACTCCAGTCTGCTGTCCTGAATGGACTTTCACTGTCTTTTCCCATCTTCCTGACTGACCATCTTTGGCCAAGGTAATCAATTGCCTGGAAGATTTTAAAAAATAGAGGTTGGTTCTATGTTTGCGGTGGTTGGGGATATTTTATAGGGGAGAAGGTATTGGAAGCTTTTCGAATGGCAGTCCAAGCCGGGAGACGGCACCCAAGATGACAGGAAATTCCTTCAAAATCTCCTCATTGTTTTAGTACCAATCTTGACACTTTCCATCTCACCAAATACTTTTCTACTAGTTAGCTAGTTCTACAACTCAAGATGAGAGTGAGTTGGTTGCAACTTTTCCCGGTAGGGCTCTTGGCCCCATTCGTCCTTGTCCAGAAAGTGGATTGCTTGGCGGGAGGCTTTGCCAAAGCTGCCAAAAGCTTCCCACCCTCTCCAAGGAAGCCCAAAAGCTACTGAAGAAACACAATGGAAATCTCGACTCTGCATCTGAAGAGTACTTTGGAAAACGGCAAATTCAAGATGGAGATCATTATGACAGGGTCTCCGCGGCATGGGACACTGTGGCTATCTTTTTACCCGTGGACTACAAAAAGAGCAAGGGCAAGGTGGAAGCATACGTCGATCGAAGGCTGGATCTCATCAGCTCTTGCTGTCTTCCTTCTGGCGCTGACAAGCAGGATTCCAAGCCCAGGTTGCTGGACGTTGGGTGCGGCGATGGTGCTATCTTCCCCAAAATATCCAACCTTGGCTTGGACTACCATGGAGTTGACATTTCTCCTGAGATGATTCGCCTGGGCCGTCAACGATTTCCAAACGCCAAGTTTCAAGTGGGATCCTTTCCTCCATCTTCAGATGATGAAGTGGCGCAAGATTGCTACGATACCTTAGTATTCAATGGATCCCTGCAGTTCTTCCCGGATACGGCAGGGATCCTGGGGCAAGCTATGGCGTGCCTGAGACAGTCCCGTGGAGGACGCATTGTCTTGAGCCACGTGGAAGGATCCAAGTTTGTACAACACGAATGCCGAACGAATCCTTCCGTAGCGGTCAGGAACATGCCTACAGAGGCTCAATTGAGAGAATGGGCGGCAGCTCGATGGAATGCAAAGTATGCAGTGAAGGTTCGGACCAAAGAAGACTTGTTGCTGGATCAGTCGATCGACGAGCAAGACCGGGCCAACGAAGACTTCTATTTGATGGCGTTGGACGTAGTCCCGAACTAGAGCTGAGATTAGGTAGCGTAAGGACTGCGAGCAAAAAAGTCAGCTGAAGAAACATAATATGTGTACATACTCATTACTGATACATGCTTTCATCCATAAAAAGTGTAGGTAGTTGTCAATTCTTCATCTGCTTTCGAGTTCGCAATTCTGCAGCATCAAACAGGCGCATCATGCAAAGATCCAATCCTAAACTTATCCCACCCAGAGGAGGAAGGAAGCTGATGAGGCGAGTAGCCACCATCTCCATCCGATGGAATCCCAATTCTTTCGTGAGGAAGATTCAACGTCATCATTCTTGACCACCAAAGACGCCGCCTCCTCATCTTGTTGTGCCTCATCAGTTCCACTTCCAGCAGCTGCCAAGGAATGGAAACACGTCTTTGTTGTCATGCTACAGTTGCTGTTGATGGTATCGACAAGGTTCTCGGGTACACAGTCACAGTTGAATCCTCCCGCGTTGCTGTTACAAGCTGCTTCTTCCAATGTGTCGACTTCCAACCCTGTCAAATCCCAACACAGGTAAAACAAGTCCACGTCAGCGGGTGCGGTTTCCTCGTTGTCCAGTGTGACGGTAGTATTGAAAAAGATCCTGTCCATATTGTAGACATTGGAGGTATCCCACTTGGAAATATCTCGGGCCGCTCGGACATTGACGGCTCCGGCAAACATGCGTTCCATGGATTCCACACGGGATGTATCCAACAGAGACAAGTCTCCACCATAAAAGTTGACCGTGTCTTCCATCATGAATGCCATACTGGTGACCTTGCTAGTGGACCAAGTTTTGCCCAGGTCAATATGAAAGTTGTGGGTGCCAGCAAAGAGTCCTTCCATGTCCGTCAGCTCGGGCGTTTGCCAATTGGAAATCGGAAGAGTGTCCGGGCTGTCTCGGTTCACAAGTTGAATGGTGGCGGTAGTCTTGTATTCAGTAAATGCAGCTCTTAGGTTCTGCAAGGACGCCGTGTTCCATGACGAAATGTCGCTTATGAAATCGGAACTGTACGCCAACATGACTCTCATGTCAACGACCCGAGATACATCCCATGAAGCAATATTGGCGGCAAATCGAGTAGTATTGTAAAATGCCTGTGTGTGAAATGGGGTTGTATATTGAGGCGCCACTCAGTCGAAGAACAGCACACGATCTACTACATGTTGATGTAGTATATAGACTTACTGCTCGCAGCGAAGTGACTCGACTGACATCCCATTGACTTAGATCGGGATGAAAGTTGTGTGTATCGGCAAAGACTTCATCTAGTGCCGTGATCCCAGTGATATCCCATTCTTCAATGGGTCCCCCATAGAGTTGTTCGACCAAGGTGCGGTCGTTTTCGGTGGTGTCCATCCAGAGACGCAATGCCGATTGTAGGTTTTCATTGGTGAGTGTGATAGTATGTGCAACAGCATCCGTGTATTGACGGTTTTGAGTTGCTGCAACTATTGCTAGGCAATTCCATAACAATAGGATGGATATGAATGAAAGAAATGCTCGTGTCATGGTGTAGAGTGTACTGGGGTATAAGGGGATGATGTGTCTTGAGTTGGTTGAATTATTTCCCTATTTGCTACGTAGCCCCTTGTGCCTTTTCGCCTTGTGAGATGTTGGCTTCCATTATTGGCGAAGCTAGTAAGCTAGCTAGCTGGTGGCATCCCAATACTTTAGTAGTAGAAGGAGACATGGATAAGGGAATCTTTTGGCCAAACAAGGAGACCGTCGGTTGCCCTTGTCTTATTTTTGTTTGGTTGAAACAAGTTTCAAACAACGGCCAAAATGTGACCGTGTCTCCACACGACCGCCGGGGCGTGGACTTCTAACGGTTGGCATATTTTGTGGGGCGCCTCCGCGTTTCCAATTTTTGGCACGTTGTGCCAAGGGTCCCACCGGCCCGACAATATCCCAGCCAGCGAAGAAGAACGAAGATCCGACAAAGCACATGCTACCGCACCTTCGGTTGTGGACAAATATTTCGCCAGTACGATAGCTAAACGCAACGCAGCAAGGATACTCGATGAGCAAGGCAAAGGATTTGTGAGAAGGTCGAAAATTTTGTTGCAGTTTTGTCCATCATATTTCCGAGTGGATTGAGCATTGATCACCGCAGTTCATAACCCACGCACATCTATCTTTGACGGACCAGAGCCTAAGAAACGACTTGCTCTTGCCTTCGTTACTTCTGTTATCTTCTGTCTACCAAGCCAAGCTTCCCTCGTTGTTCAGACCCAAGAGTAGCTAGTCAGATCGACCATACTACCTATCCATAAAAAGGAAGAGGAAGACAACAACACCAGATTTATTTCTTGAAGTACAACTTACTTGATCTATTTGCAAGATGATGCCCCCAGTAGTAGAAGGATCGGTGGACAATGAGTCCGTCTATCCCCACCACCAACATCCCACTGATGAGTACAACAAGGGACATTCTCGTCGATCTGCTTTTATGGACGTCGTGAGACGATACAAGTGGTACATTACGGCTGGAACCGTCGTCTTTATCCTCATCTTGTGTATCGCCATTCCAGTCTCCAAAAAGAACAAGGGCGGTAGCAACGAATCCATCTCTTCGGTCGGTTCGTCGTCTCAGACATCTCCTCCTGGTTCCGACAATTCAGGCTCTCCAACTGATCCCTTGGCCCGAAAAAAGGCCGATCTCATGGGACGCATCAAGTCCGGTTTTGACGTATTGGGATTGCCCGAATCACACAGTACCATGTTGGATAGCCCCGAAAGTCCACAAGCACGAGCTCTCAGCTGGGTCGCCGGATCCGACAAGTACGACGAATACAATGATGATCAACGATTGCAACGTTACGCGCTGGCATCCTTCTTTTATGCTACCTACGCCGTCCGCAATGCCTATGTCACACAGCAAGTGCCCTGGACCACGGCCGAAAAGTGGCTCTCGGAAGAACACGAATGCGACTGGGAAGGAATCACTTGCTCTACCCCCGAAGAATCGCCCACGGGAAATCGGGTCGTTACCATGATTGAAATGGAAGAACACCGCATCTCGGGAACGATCCCACTCGATTTGGTACTCTTGCGAGAATCCCTGAAATCCATTGTCCTCACCAACAATCTCATCTTTATGGAAGGAGATGCCATGAATGTATTCCAGTACTTGGAAAACTTGGAGGTACTCATGTTGGCGGACAATTACATTGTCGAACGAAATGGACTCCCACAGGCGCTCCGCAATTTGGGAAACCTCAAGAAACTCATCTTGTCCTACAACTTGTTGCAGGGAGCCATTCGTCCAAACTACTTTGAAAACTTGCGCAAGTTGTCACACTTGGAAGTCGAAAGCAACTACTTGTCCGGACCTCTACCATCCAGTATCTACGAAATGGATCAGTTGGTATACCTCTATGTCCGACGAAATGATCTCAACTTTAACTTTCCTCATGCCATTCGAACCGCCAACTGGCCCAATATGTGTGAGTATTTCCAAAAGAGACGCAAGACATTCCCTTTACCCCTTGTTGACTGACTTCTGACTCTTTCCTTCTTTGTCTTTTTGTCTGCTACACACAGTCTCCATGTGGTTTGACCACAACAACATTACTGGAACCTTCCCGACCGAGATGGGTAAATTGACTGGATTGGCCAGCTTTTCTTTGACCAACACCACTGTGCGAGGTACCATCCCTACCGAAATTGGTGCTCTCACCGGACTTCGTCGCATGTGGCTCTATGGAAACAACCTCCACGGAACCATCCCAACCCAGCTTGGAAACTTGCCAATACTAGAGGTGGCGGAAATGTACGGAAATAACTTGGAAGGATCCATGCCTCAAGGGGCTTGTGAGGCCATTGCAGCGGCAACTTATGATTACAAGGTGCTCTCGGCCGATTGTGGAAAGGTCCAATGCCAGAACTGTTGCACGCAATGCTACTAGTCTAGTAGGTCAATAAGGCAGGCAGGCAAGTCTTTCCATTTCATGCACACAGGCGAGAGGAAGGAAGGAAGCACCAAGGCAGAGAACAATTGCTTTCCAAACAAACAAACCAAGACATCATCTGCTCACTGTAGGTAGCGTAACATAGTTTTTCGTAATCGATTGCATTTTTATTATTCAAGTTGTGTTGTGTTGTGTTGTACTATAGTCGTTCACTTTAATAAAGCAATTCTTCCGTGTGCACTTTGATCCACCGTCATCAAAAGTATAACATGCGTTGCGTTGTGTTGTAGTCGTTCACATTAAAAGCTTCCATGTCACAGAGCCGGTGCACTTTGCTCCACCGTCATCCACAAAAGTATATCAGGCAGGAAGGCAGGCAAGATGGCGCAACAAACACGGGAGACGCATCAAAAGGCAAAGAAAATGTCTGTAACTTTAGAATAATTAAAAGTGTAGGTAGCAATGAATCGAAGTATCCAACCATGTATGCGCAATGGATGAAACCGAAGGAAACGAGCTGATCCTGACATCCCGTCCATTCCATGAGAGGGAATATCGTCATCCCCAATACCTTGGAGTTCCTTGAGCAGTTGACGGCCGGCTAGACTGAAGCCACATTGCGAGGATTCGGAACATGGGCGATGGCGAACCAGCGTGGAAGAAAATCTGAATCATCCGGCTCCGAAACCTCATTGCTATCTTCTTCCTCGGTTGACCAGGAGACCGGGACGACGGCACTAGACAAACAGCCCAGCATCAAAAGACCTGTCGCACCTAAGACATGCGAAGCCCAAGATGATGCAGCAGTGGATCCGCTTCCTATTTCCCACAAGTACCAGACCACACGCCAATAGCTCACTGAGGCAATCCCCAGCAGCACATTCTGGGTTCTAACCGTGATGTGATGCACCAAAGAGTTGTTTGGTTGGGTTTTCCCATCAAGCAAGATCCCGGCCCACGATGACACCAGCACAGATGCACAAAAGATGATCATTCCCACTGCTAGAGACCAGTTCAAATCACTTCCAGAGGACGAGTAGCCCCAAAAGTAGAAGTCTTGCAGCGTCCATATCCCTCGCCAAAACCAAACCTCAAGAATCGGAAGGACGACAAATGTCCCAAATAGATCCAAAGCGGAGAGTACATTGGACCATGGTCCGTGAGATTCACGCTGGAACCCTCGACTTCTCCGAGAGACCGAGAAGATGGTATCAAAGACGACTGTTGAAGGATCTTGAAGAAGGACCGTAGGAGGAGCCAGAAGGGAAGCACTGCAGTCCAGCACCAAAGCCCCAGCGCAGCCAAGACATGCGGAAATCCAGTTGGATCTGAGCAAATGCTTTGGATATAACCAGACTTCTGTCAGCATCCAAACTCCTCGCCACGTGAGCACGTTGCCACTTCCAACAGCTTGTACCATAAATATCCTCGTTACGGCCAATCGTGTTCTAGACAACACGTCCGTTTCTGATAGCTCTTCAACTTTGCTTTCTTGAAAGAATCCATTCAGGTACAGCAGCTCTCCAAGACAGCATAACGAGATTCCTACAACCAAAGAAAGAAGTGCGCTGTTTCTTCTCATTGGGTTTTCCAAGTCATTTGCCCCGCAAAAGATCTCTCCATTCAACAGAGAAGCGTCAACCGGTTGATCACATGAATAGACATCAAAGAGCGACCAAAGACCTCTCCAGAAGCTTACAGCCAGAGCTCCAATCAGTAACCTGAAGAGCCATCGCTGTGTTTGACGAACCATTCCGCGCTGGTCATTGGTGGAGTCTGCTTTGCCTTCTGGCTCCTTACCTGCAGAATCTCCGAAATCGTTTGTCTCCACTATATCAAGTTCATCGCGTTTGTCAGTAGTTTCACTGCTCAGACTCTCACTGCGTGTGGTTGTCCTGCGGTCAAGAAGGATCTGTGGCTTCGTAACAAGCTCTTCGTAGCCGTCCTCCGCAAACCATGTCTTCTCGGTTTCATCGGCTTCGACGCCATTCATGGAGATAATTCCGGGAGATTCCATTTTGCACCTCGTTTTGGACTCAGAGTGATCTGAGAGGAGAAAGAAGAAGAGGGTACCGGTAGATTGTGGGGTGGGTTGGTAGTTGGTAGAGCTAGCTAGATGGGGATCCTCGAGCGATGATGGTCTGGTACGGTACCGGTATTATTGAACCGTTGCCGCTTGGGAAGCAGCACGGCTTATACGGTTCTGTACCGTACTGTACACGTACACACGTACGCGGTACTATCATCACAATACATAATAGGCAAGTCTGGAAAGTGCAAAAGATCAAGACCTGATGCTTATGGCTTGCGAGGCAAGGGAAAGGCCTCTTTATTCGAGAAATGAGGTGTTTAAAGGCTTCTTGATGTTGCCGTTAACAATGAGAACACTACTATACGCGGAGTACATGAATCGAATCCCGCATGCTTAACCGGTTCCTACCGTATGTACACGTATAATGACAAAATATGATATACGGTATACGCGTGTACAGTATGCCGTTTGCTTTTAGTCATATACGGCACTCAGGTTTTTAAGTTCCGATCTTGCTTTCGATCTGTGTCATGTTTAGAATTAGACTCAAAGATTTAATTTCGGTTGCAGTTGCTTGCTCGACCCGCATTCCAACAGAATAGAGAGCTTTTGATCTGTTAAAGTTGGGAAGCAGCAATCTCACTTTCAGGGCCTCCTTGAGAAGACGGGCTTCGTCGGACTCCGCCATGCTGCCTGAGAAGCGGTGGAGCAGAGCAATGGAGGATCACGATCGATGGTGGCAATCAATGGATCAAAATGACAAATTGGGGTGTGTTGATTGTCGTGTTAGCTTGCGAGTCTGGCTTTCCCCTACAACAACATGCATCCCCAAGCATCTGAATGGACTTGCCGAGCCCGACATGGTTGTGGTTCACTAAAAGCCGCGGCAAAAGCAAGCGCCATCTTCACATGATGTTTCGATGTTTCGATCTGTTCGATTGCTTATTGTTGTGGTTGCTTTGGATCGACAGGAGGTGTGGTTGGATTCAAAGGTGAAAGTTAAATCTCTTGGCGTTGCAC